ATTCCTGCAGTGAAGCCCGTGGCATACCTTGCATCGGTTTCCGTCTGGATCTTCGTACAATCTTTTCGTCTCTTTTGGCAGTAAGTTGGCAAGTTCTAGACCAGACAAGCCTAGACTGAGTAGTTCTCATATTATAGTGCGTGGCTACCGGCCTTTCGCTGATTGACGCAACCCGTCCTTTGACATACCCAGTATACCCATAGGAACCATACTTCACTTGCTGTATCATTTTTATACATAAAGGCGAAAGAGCCGTATCTACCCTAGTATACCCCAACCCCGGACGTCTTACCGCCGAACTGGAAGTGTATACCAGCCCCGTAGGGAAACCCCCCAAAACCTGCGAGCAACACTTTATGTACTCAATATAGGGAACTCTTAGGGAGGTGTCCGAATTAGAACTATGCCACGGTATACCCTATCTCTCAAGTGCACTGCCCATGATCCGTATAGTCCCGAAATCCTTGACGGCCGCGGGATTTGAACAAGCCTAGACTGAGTGGGCGTGCGTGGGAACTCGTCTTTCATAATTTGTAACTACTGTAAACCCTTGTTATAACAATCATCACTATAACAATTTCCCGCCCAAAACGATTTCACCCAGTGTGAAGTTAATTCTATTATACAAAAACCGTCGTGTCCTTTTATAGTGATTAACGAGATCTAGATAAAGGTAGCCCATACAAATATTGTTAAAACAAGGGCCTGACCTGCGGGTTCCTCCCCTTGGCCAAATTGTTGCCACGCGCCTTTAGCGGGCCCAGCAGGGCCCGTACTTGCACTGCCTAAGCACATTTAAAAGCATCTTGTCAAGTGCCAACAATTTAAGGCTTCAGAGGAGAGGTGTTGGAACGTGTTTGATATGATTCTTGGTGGTTGTAACTAGCTACGTTCCCGCATGTAAACAAGATGAAAAGGCCTTTGGAATCACGTGGCCGGATCACTTAGCAACGATGACATGAAGCACCCTTCAAGCATTATTTCGAAATTTATATATATATATATACATGTGTGTGTGTGTGTATCCATATCTGTATTAAGTCGATCTGCATTCTAAATCTGCAGCTGGGGAGGCCTTCCATTGCCCCCCCCCCCCCCCCCCCCCCCCCCCAAAAATTTTTTTTTCCTCCGCTATACAGCAAAGCGCATTAAAGCGGCTATAACCAACTTAGACCAATATAGATCCACTTAAGTAAATCTAAACACTAATTAGAGAACAGTTGTGTAGCTTACCACATAACTACTACTTAATCTGGTCAATAAAAAGGTGTAAAAAAGCTGTTTTCCAGCCAATCAGCAGTCAGAGTCCTTCCTCAGGCCCTCATAGAGTTGCAAAGCTAGCGCTTTGTAAACAAAGCCAAAAATTGCCTAAAAAGGTAATAATTAAAGGAAATCCTAAGGACTGGATGTGTTTTATATTAGAAATATCACGTGAATAGTCTACCTATACTGTAACAATACAACAATATCTGTATACAGCGATTTTGCAAGGCCTCACCAATCAGATTGTTATAAAGGGATTTACAGTACTAGTCTTGCGGGTCAACAATCGGCGCCAAGGCGGCGCCTATGTTAGCTCATCCGGCATTTGGAGCCGATCTACCAGAACAGCATGGAAGGGGAGTTTTATGCAGAGATATTTACTAGGTAGCAGTAATCAGGAACTCTTATGGGACGAAATGATTTCTTGCAGCAGCTTGACTGTGCTGGTTATAGATTGTGGTATACTCATCAAAGGACCAGCCCTAGTCTCGATTAAAAGCGAACATAGTTCACCAAAACTGACCAGCTACATAGAAAGTTAAGGGACTAACTAGGAGGGCTTCTGGTAATACATGTTGTTCTGATCAGGCCTATGATCATTCTATCCTCGCCGATCCCTCGCGCCTGTCAAAGGTAAGAAAGAAGATAAAGAAGACGCAAAAAAGCCAGCCGTCACGAAAAGAATCTGGGGGTATTTTGGAACTCAGAGTTTTCGCCACCATGAGGCACAACATATCCCCTGAGGGAGGAAACGCGCCTTGGTTTGCAGTGTGCCCGTTGCCTAATGGTTATTTGGCCACGTGGCCCAAGTGTAGAACGTGGAGGGTTGCCACATCTACCATGGTTTAGGGTTAATTGTAGACAGTAGTAGTCGTTGGAAGTCGTTAACGTTGGTTTGTGCTCGCACTTAGGATTGAACGTCAGTTTAGCGAGACGATCAATGCCTATGCCATGAGACTCAGGCTAGCAGTTTCCTCGTTCTCTTCTAGTCCTCCTCGTAGGTCTCACAGGGCCTTCGTCTTCTGAGGAAGAGGCGATGTATATTGCATTCGCCTCGGAGTTGGCAGGCGGATTCTGAGTACGGCGAGAAGCGCCCGATGTTGTTCTAGGCGCCGCATCAGCCGATCGAGAAGCTCTGGTGGGCTGCTCTGGCTCGGGAGCAGGAGAATCCGAAAGCACGCGATATGCTGGCACTCGATTCCGCCGGCTACTGCTAATAGCAGGTCTAATAGGCTCGTCGTCGTCGTCTTCGGAGTCTTCGGAGTTTTCTGAGTCTTCTGAACCTTCTGAATTCTCATCTTCGCTGCTACCGTCTTCGCTGCCATCCAGCATCTCGTCAGGCGTACCGCTATCGAGAACCTCGGATCGTGTAATTGAAAATTCATGATGCCCGACAACTGTAGACCGGTCAGATTCAGAATAGTCGCCATGCTCATGTTCTAATTCGTCGTCAATGAATGAATCCATATCCGCATCGTCATCTTCATCGTCCATTTCACTGTCTTCAATTCCCGAAGAAGGGCCTGCAGGCCAATCGCGGGGCCAATATCCGGGGTGTTGCCGATACAATGCGTCGTGAAGATCTGGCGGCAAAGCTTGAAGGGTTGTGTATATCTCATCGAAGTCATAATCTTCATCATAATCTCCGAACCCGTCCTCAATGTCATCGTCCATGTAGTCGGTCATTTCTTCGGACCCTTCCATGTCGCTATAATATGTGCTCGTTATCGAGTCGCGATCTCGTTGGTAACCGCAGTGTATACATTCATCTTCCTCCAACTCCCATGCACAGTGCGGACAACGTAATATGTTATCATCGTCATCCATGATGGGCTGACTAATTTTCGGCTTGTTGAAAGTTCCTCGAAACAGACCCCCTTCCTTAGGGTCTGCATTCTGTCTGTCCTTTTCCAACCGCTCTGCTTCCTCATTGTGATGGCGCTGGTGCTCGTCTGTGGTCTCGCCCTTGTCGAGTAGTTCGGGCTGGCTCGTGAACATTTGAACAACCGCTCTAACCTTTGAAATGTGAGAACGAGCCTATCTTCTTCGCTTGGCAAAGTTTGAGTCAGGAGGTCTTACCAAGTAAGCAGGTGCAGGCTGCGCCTTCACTGGAGCCCGACAGTCAGGGCATGTTTTGTTGTGTCGTCCACCAACAAACCATGAGGTTAAGCACTAGAATGCGCTGTCAGACGCCGTGCGAATAGCTATACCAAAAATATGGGGAGCTTACACTGTAACAAAATGTATGCCCGCAAGCCAGAGTATAGGGTTCGTAGAGCGGCCGGATGCAAACGCCGCATTGTATGAGGGACCGAATGCTATCGACGTGACCTTGCAGAGTTTGAAAGAGCTATGGACACGACGTTAACAATGTATAATTCGAGAGATCCGGGTAAGTCGCTCACCCCCGACGCGTTGTCTCCCGTGTTTATCGCGGGCGCATTTGTGTTATCGGCACCATTGTTCGAGGCGGCAGCCCCGGCAGCAGCTTGGGCCATTTTTTTTCTCGAGATTTGCTTTTGCGCAGCCTGGTCAAGGCGTATATGAGGTGAAAGTAATACTGTGTATCAAAGTACGCGAAGCTCTCGGAGGTGGAGGATATGAGAAAGAGGTCCTGTTGTTTAGGAAGGGGTGGGAGATAAGTATGGACTTTTCAGGTACGCGAGAGGATCGCCGACATCACTGGAGGGAGGGACACGGGCAACTATGGCAGGAGTAAAATATCCCCCACCAAGTGGTTTAAGCCAGAAACTTCGAAAAAGAAGCAAGCCCGTAATTCTGAGCTAAATCTGACCTGGGCGACCTCGATATGCGGCTCTCGAGAGAAAGAAGAGAGATGAGACGAGGAGAGAAGCAAAACTCGGCACTCATACCGGTAGGATTAGTTTGGGGGGGGGGGGAACTTCCTTATTCCTGCCTGAGGAACACGGATCACATTCACTTTGTCTTGGCCGGTCAGAGGTTCCGCGCGCAAACCGAACAAACATATCAACAATCAACATCACCTTTTCCCCCTCCACAACTCTGAAAGTCCAACTGAATGGGATTTGGTCTATCGACCGGAATAACTTTCCCTATTCTGGGGAGGGTTTAGCGCCCAGTGCGATCCGGGCGTTAGCATCCTGTTAGCGCCGGTTATCTTCGTGAGATGGAGGATCTCTCAGAAGTCAGAACGCTTCAGTTACACATTTCAGATGCTGGAACAGCTTCTCACAACGTGCCGCAGATATTTCACGTGAGCTCAGTGCTTATCGAAACTAAAACAGGCAGCGACTCGCTTGACATCCAGCGTATCGACCCATTGCTCAAGACGTCAGGCTGGCTGGCTTCTCTAAATTAGCGCCTAAGGATTTAAGGACTTTTAGTTGTACTCGGTCGAATCTTATTACTCGCTGCCATTTTTCGGTGGAACATGAACACACTCACTCTAGTCAGATCCTTTATGGACATTCCTGATTCCTGGTTTGAACAGGGACTTACTAAACTTCCTTCAGTATGAAAAACGACGAACCTTAAAACTATCCAACGAAATACCACTGCTGCATCACTGAATGCTGCCTATTACAAGTAAAAGAGAAAGACGAACGCCTCGTTTGCCCAAGCGACAATTCGCCTACAGAAACCCAAAATCCCTAGTTCATTATGACATGCTAAGATTGGCCCAACTGCAACCCTTGGTGCGCATAAATCGAAAGCATTATGCGAGAACCTCATATTGGTTGCTGGGAAAAAAGAACCAATTTAGTACCGCTTCATTCATCCACATGAGTAGCTGTTTAGATCTACTCCACAGCAGCAAAGCTTCGCTTTTTGGAACGCCGCTGCTTGAGATCTTCCGATACCAGGTGGCTATCATCAGTAACACCCTTGATAACTTTATCATCTTCAACAATCTCCTTGTCCATGTGCTCCAAGAACGCGATCTGTTCTCGAATAAACTGCTTCAACAGGCGGGTATTGAAAGGTCTGGTCGCTCGTCTCTGATCACGCATGAATCGGTTGGCATCTCGCAGGCGCTCTTCGAGGATCTCAAAGCGGTACTCCGCAAACTGGTGGTACAAGTCGCCAAGCTTAGAGATTGGACGTACTGTTGTAAGTACGGTGTCATCTTTGGTGGCTGAAGCGCGAGGCCGGAAAGAGGTGACCATGGAAATCCGCTCAGTTGTTCCCAAAGCACGGAGTGCCTGATGCTCGATGTAACGCCCCTGAAGAATGACGGCAGATCCCTAATAGATGCTGTAAGCCTGCTGTCACTTGGACCAAGCCCTTCAGACTTACCATCTGTGGTCCTCGGACCTTCACCACTTCCCCGTCACCCTTTCTCAAAGCTGTCTCGCCACCAATCATGTTCGTACAGTCGGAAAGCATAGTCACGCAGACAAAGGGATAACTGTCTGTATGCCAATCAACGATCGGGTCTTCGTCCTCCCAAGGACAGCCGGCCACGCCTTCGTCTGCTTGGCGAGTCGCTTTCTCCATGACCGCTTTGAGAGCTTCGTTCTTCTCCTGCTCGCTGTGAACGGAGATATTGACGTGGCCAATTTCGAAGTCCATGGCAGGAACGAGATCAACACCGGCGATTTTTGAGATGATTGCCAGCGTCTCCGGGCTCTTCCAGGCGTCATAGATGAACGGTGCGCATCTATGCAACAACATCAGCAATGCTCCACGGTGCTTGGGCCTGAGTTACACACTCTGCCGCATATCCTCGCAATTGGCACTGAGCAAGATCGCTAGAGTACTTATGCTTCATGAAAACTTCATCGCTGAGAACCTCTTCTCGCATCTGTTGAATGGCTTCTGCAGAGAACAACGGGAAAGGCTCGGAGACTCCCACGGGAGAAACACCTCGGCTGTCCGAGTAGCCGAGCTCTTTCATGCTGTACACTTTGGAAGGGGCGGTCTGAGACAGGTGCTTGGAAGGGTCAAAGGCAATCTTTCCTGTTGACGAGGTCGATTTCTTTCCATGGCTGACTTCTGTCTCCTTGGGCTGGATTGGTCCCGCCAGAATTGGCGCCGGTGTCATGGTATAGGTTTCGACAGACGCCATTGGTCTACAATTGCGAGGTTCTCAGGTCAGAGCCAAATCCAAAATACTTTCCATATGCTATGGATCGGCGGCGGCGGCATACCTTGATATGTCGAATATGGACTTTTGTCAGGTCGCAGATGAACCCGGATAATAGAGTCAGATAATGGTGTATACAATTATTGGAGATGCCTGATGGAATTGTCGAGGTAAGCTGGGAGGGCTTCAAAGGCCATTATTTATACTCATGTCCGGGGTAAGTGGCAAGCTCTAACCAGTCTACCTTGAGGCTTCGCTGGATGACTGTGACAATACCGTATGTGACAAACGAAATAACTTCTTCATGCTTCATCGGCCGGAAACAGTGTGCAGTACTGGATCACTGTGCAATCGTCTTCGAAATCTACAGTCTCGAGAAGTATGGCGCGCTTGCCTGCCTCTATCGCTCAACGTGTGTTTGCAAGGCAGGGCTTCGTGGATAGACTAGTCCATGGAAACTATTCCTATGTTGGGTTTGGCACAAAGGATGAATGCTCCACCATGTCATCTTTCTGAGGTAATGGACATCTCTTCAATTGGGCCGAGTGCTCCTCCCTTAGAGCAACATGTGGAATTTGGAAAGCAGAGTCAAGAACGCATTATCTCCATGCGCTCTGTGACCTGGTCACTAGCGCTATGGTAGAGCATGGCAACAAACCTTTTAGGAAGTCCGGACCAGGCCCACGCAACGCAGACTTCTGCAACGTACTTCGAGACCAGTACGTCTCTTTCATTGCGAAGTGGGCCAGACACCAAGGCCTTCCTTGCGGCTATTAAACCTGGGCGAGAGTTTTGAAGAGCGATCACCGTGATCGGTCGGGCATCAAGGGACTCATAGGATTTGTTGACGGCTCCCAGTGGGGGGGTAGTGAAGGGAGAAATTCCGAAGCTTCTCTGCCAAGTCTGGCTGCTGAAAGGACTTTTTGACCCGATTTGGGATTTGGTGTCGTGTCGTGGCTAGCAAGCTATCAGATCGGATGTATGGTATGGTTATCTGTGGTGCTGCCGATAACACAAACCCCTCTCTTTCTCTTGCCCCTACGCAACACTGGCTATGACAACCCGACTTGTCGCCCTTGCGTTGTTCACACAACATGCATGAATTATTCGGTTTCTCTGTTCAACCTCTGGTGCCTAGTGATACCGGTCGGCTATAGCTCTCACCTTCGAGAAGATTAATTTGGACTTGACAGGATTGTTGATGACGATTTCAGTCTATTCTTAGTCCCGTTACATTGTCCCCGCCTATGCTTTGTTTCGGAAGTGGAGCCTCCACCTAACAGGACTGTTTCAATGACTTCTTTGAATTCTATGACACACTCGCTTCATAGTGATGAATTTATCTGATGGCGCAGTAGGACCTGGTCTTTTCATGTTACGTCGCCACTAGTATGCTTGATCAGAACGATGACAGGAAGAACAGAGCCCAAAGTCAGCGCACAAGTGATACAGAACCGAACTCAAGCAAACCTGTCCCATAACTAATCCGGGGTAGAGAAAGAAGCGCGCATGATCAATGCAGAGTAAGGAGGGGTAGAGGTATCTGTCCTGTGATGTTTGTCACATCGGAAGTAATGTATTCACTGCTCGGCTTCTTAGCCGGGCAGATACACATCAGTACAATGCTACTGTTGTACTCTCTCAGAGGAATGGAGTAAATTGAATGATCTGCCCTGTTGATATCAAGATGGCTGAGGAGTCATTTGAATCACTTACAAAGTGCATTTGTACTACGAATAGATACGTTGAGTAGGTAGATATGTAGCTATGCCCCTACGGAGTACATACATTTCCTTGAAAGGAAGAATGACTAAGAGGGATTTCCCCACGCCAAGGTCGGCGGGTCCAGCTTTTTCCGCCTGCCAATCGATCACTCAGGCTCACTTACTCAGTACATGTCCTCCGCATACTCCCAATACCTACGGAACAACCCTCTACCTTCGGCACTCATCACTCCCATACTCCCATCCTGCCAGCTGAAACGTGTGTCAATTAAATTATCCTTGTATAAATCCTACTACGAACGATGGCCTCCTCCTCGGAGCAGAATCAGCAGCAAGCAGCAGCAACGCCATCCTCATCTGCCTCGGACTCGGTCCAATCGAACTCTTGGGAAAAGGTCGAGCGGAAATTCTCCAAGTAGGTTCCCTTCTGTTTTTGCCATCTTTCGAATCTTATACATCGGGCCTTTTTCTCAATTTTCCGTTTACTTGGCACCGTAACTTCTTCTTCCATGCGGCTGTTGTCCCAGACGGGAATAAACAACTTGCCTTAGCTGCTCTGTCGGCTGTGGGCAATTGCTTGCTTGCTTGCTCGCTCGCTGTACTGCTGGACGAAACCTCTTGCAATCTAGCGTGAGTGTATCTAGTGTGACATCCATTACTAACAGCACTATAGCAAGTCTGCAAGTGAATACTTTGATCCGTGCCAGGATTTCGCAGACCGGAGTCTGAAATGTATGAAACGCAATGCTTTTGATAGAGAGATGTGCCATGACTACTTCCAGTGAGTGACTTAGCCCTTTACAACTCACATTGCCTTCCTTTGTAGATACAAAAGTGTACTTGCACTTTCTCCTCTCTTATCAAGAGGGCGGATCGTCAGTGTTGCACTCTGTTCTGGTGGCTCTTCTCATCCCTGTAGTCGTTCAACTCTATAGTACCATATGCTGATTGACACCCCAGGGCTTATCGTGACTGTAAAAAGCAATGGGTGAGTGAAACTTGTTCTAAGTGGTCACCTTCCTTTATCTTCGCTGGGGCTCATCTGTCGGATGCCCTTCTCGGGAGCTTTTGGACCTTCCCGGAAAGGTTTTCCCTGCCGTTCTCGTCATTGTTAACCGTTATCTTTACAGTTGACACAAAAGAAAAGAGGTGCGTAGGCTAGTCCAGAAGCGAACAAAGGGCAGCCCACCTCTCCAAGTTGCCTTGGTTTCCTGTTTCTTGATGCTCCACGATGTCAGGAACTGCTCAAAGCTAGCATCGAACTGTGCCGCAAGCCACTCTGTAGTGAGATAATGGAGATAGTGGTGTACCGGATGCTTCGGTTCTAGGTGCCGGCCTCAATCAAGACAAGCAGAGATCGTCGACTATCTCTGCACAGTGTTGTTCTTTGCTCGGCGGTGAGCTAGAACATTATTGACGGCGGAGCTGGCAATGGGCAGTCTCTCAAGAGTGAAATGCCTTTTGGGTATCCCTACGGGCTGGCTGAACTTTCAGATAGGCGTTAGGCTTCATCTTGATGCCTTCGTCATCTCTCTCCTCTCCTCACCTTCCGCCTACGCTTGTACACTACTTGTATATTTATTTGATATGGTCTTTGAAATGGAAGGGTCTCTCATCTGTTTTGTTGCTAGTAGTAGCAGCACCGTGAGGTTCACTACGCGCCTCCAAACTCAATATGCGTGTAAGGGAAGTTGACTTTCGGCTTGACATTTTGTCCACCAAGATATACCTCTTCTGTCAGGCCTGACCACGGACGGATATCCTCGGGCTTTCATTCAACCAGGTAACTCCATCTTGTAACTCCATCCCTACACCTCCTGAGGTACTATGGGATCATGGCAAAGTCAAGTTTTCCAGTGAAATTGACATTCCGATGTTCTGATCGATCAGTGTATGACTGCGTCATCCCCCACTAATTGAAGGAAGGCATGGCCGCATGCCGCCGTCACCGCCTTCCAAATGAGCTTCCCCGCCCACCAAACTCAGCAGAAAGATGATAAAGATAGTTGGAGAAACACCAACAATTTCCCCCTCATCGTCGCTGTGTAATTATCCTTTCGCACGTCGTATGCTGTGCTGGCTTGCGCAGCATACGTTACATTGCATTTTATAGTCGCTATTGACGAGCCGAGTCTTTTGCCTTGTTATCTCTAGCCCCGTGTTTCCTCGAAGCATTCACTATGTCTTCCACCAATGACGCCGTCTTTTATCGGCGGAACAAGCAGATCCAAGACGCCATTGATGGACAAAATCTAAAGCAGGCCCTGCAATTGATCGAGAAGCGTATCAAGAAGGGTGAAGACACACCCTTCCTCAAAGTGAGTCTTTTCTTTGGTGATTCGTGTCAATATATCTGCCCCACTCAATGCGTGTCTCCGGCTGCATCCAAGAGCTTCCCTCCGATATAATTGTTTCGATGCTAACTGGAGCTGAACGCCTGATCAAAAGGCATGGAAGGCGTATGTTCTCTACCGTCATGCCGACGAAGCCCACCGCAAACGTGGGATCGCCGAAACTCTCGAACTGTGTAAAGCCGAACCTCCCACGACGGATCTGGAGACCCTCGATATTCTCCACGAGACACTGGAAAAACTTAGCGACCATGGGGACACCCTGAGAAGCCTCTGGGAAAGAGCCTCTAAAGCTAGTCCAAAGGACTTGGATATTCAAATGCGGTGGTTTGAGTATGGTTTTGAGGGCGATGACTGGAAATCGGCGCAGAAGGTTTGCTACCATCAAGCGCCGTTGACAAGCTTAACAGCGCTAATCGATCTTATTTGGTCAATTCATAGGCTGCCATGTCTCTCCAGAGCAACTTTCCCAAGACCAGGAAGTATTATTTCTGGGCCATCTTCCTTTGCTACCTGATCTCCGTCGATGCGGGGGCTTCGGAGGCTGAACGCAAGCTTTTCGGAACCCTAGCCTATCGTATGATCTCCAAAGCTGCCGAAAGCGTTCCTCAAGATCCGGTATGTTACAACCTTCTTCGGTGATTAGCGGCCTCTCGTCGGTCATCTTCCTATGCGTGGTTGGATATTTGTCTGGACATTATGGTGATATTTGAAATCGTACACACAGAAGGAGTTACTGAGCCCTCCCAGAGCTATTCAATCGGCCGAGGAGCTACTGTTGCTTGTTAAGATCTTTGAGTCCCAAGAGCGCCATGCAGAAGTCGTCAAGATCCTCGACAGCGATAACCTAGGTTTGAACTCGCGCGTCGTGCAGAACGATTGGTCATTTGTTGGAGTGAAGCTGTCCAGTTTGGAAAAAGCCCAAATGTGGACAGAAGGTCTGGACTATGCAAAGAGCTTGCTCACTATCCCAAGCAACGAAGAAGAATTGAAGGCTCTTCAAGAACGCGATGACTGGGCAGTCTGGCACTTGCTCCTCACCTCAACTCAGAGAATTAACTCTTCAGAGTAAGTTTGCAATATGCATTTTCATGCAATGACCAAGCTCCGCCGGCTAAAATGTAATTCAAGGACTACCATCGCAACTCAGGACTTCATTCGCGATTTTGTGGCGGCTGTGCCCAAGTCTCGCAATGCGCACTTGGCTCGGCTTGACATGGTACACTGGGGTTTCAAGTCGGGTAGCTCTAACGCCGAGGACTTGATCGCCGCCTGCAAACAATACTATGATCTCAACAAGCATAAACTCTACTGCTTCGGTGATCTGAGGACTTACGTGTCATCACTCGATCAAGTTTCCATGACGAGTTTGGTGAACTATACTTCTGAAGGACAAAACGAGGGGATTGAAGTAAGTTGTTTGGAATCTCGTGCAGAGCTGGTATACTAATTCCGAAATAGGAAGCTTTAGGGAAGGGCGTCGCGAAGATCAACGCGCTCAAACTGGAGTACTGTTTCTGTCTTTCGGCTAACGAGGAGAACGTCTCCAAATCCCAAGTCGAAGATTTCATCGTACGCTGTCTGCAGGTCTATCGTGAGGTCCAGCGCCCCGAGAAAACTTCAGCTCCCACCACAATTGAAAGCCAGCCCAGCGATGACCTATGTATTTTAGCGGCTATGAGTCTGATGCGTTTCAGCGAACCGCGCACATCTGTTGCTGATCAGCAGATTCCTGACGCCGTTCTCGTTCGCGCAGCAGCTATCCTCGAGCGTCTCCTTGTCGACTCACCCCACAACTATCAGGCATTGTTACTTGTCGTTAGAATCTATTTGCGCTTAGGTGCAGGATCTCTTGCACTGAGCAGCTTCAGTAAACTATCGGTGAAGCAAGTGCAGTTCGAAACCGTCGCCCACAATCTTTTCACTCGCCTTGCCACGATCCACCCACACACCGCCCCACCAGTTGAAGGGGCTGAATACAAAGACTTCAACCCACAATCCGCTTTTGTGCAGGCCCTTAACTTCTTTCGCACGGCAGACCTCACATCCACCAGGCATCGCACCAGAGGACTGGATTATGGCAGCTATGTGAATATCGAAGGTACCATCGAACTGCAGAAGCGTCTGAGGCAAAGCATCTGTCGCAGGATGTGGGCGCTAGACGTCAGGCGCATACAGAGACTGGCTGGTGGAGACCCTATGACTAGATACGATGACATGGGTAAGTGGATTCTGCACAATTGCTCTCCTCGCATGCTTACACAACCGCACGGCACAGCTAGAGATAAATCGCCTTTGATCGACCAACGTGTCTTCGACGCATTCATGAACTGTGAAGCCCCTGGAAAGCCTACATTTGAAGAGCGTATACGCTTGGGCCCTTTGCCTAGTGTGAGTTCATCGTCTTTCTCGTGATGCCATCACTGCGACTAACAAGATTAGAACGGATGGATCAAATCTATGAATGTAACCGACCATCTGTTCGGCACTCTGAAGTCTTTGGCCACTCAAAAGCCATTGACTGTTGAGCCCGAGCTACCAAGCCTTGATGACATGTTGGGCGAAAATGTGGAAATGGAAATGACAACAGCAGAAATTGAAAGTGCTAAGACAAACCGGAGCCTTCTGGCACTTGCTCTGTTCTTGAGTGGGTCCAAATCTGTCACTGCGGAACAAGCAGACGCCAGTTTCACCCAGGTGGAAGCATGGCTTGACTCAAGGGTTCAGGACCTCAATGAAGGTGACGGGAAGGTGTCCCCAGTTGTCTCGAGAACTGCACTTTTCTTGAATTCCGAAGCACCAATTGCGCCAACTTGGAAATACTTCCATGATCAGTTCATGGTCCTGGACTCTCTTAAGGCCTTGTCCCTTCTAACCACCGTCGCCGCGCGAAAGGGGTCTAAGAACGCCAAATTGAGTCGCGAAAAAATTGACAAACTGGCTGACACTACACGCCAAGTCTTCCAGGGTATTAGAACCGGTGGTCGTACCCTCAAATCTCACGTCTCGGCTTCGGGTGGGTTGAGCGCGTTGATCGACCTGGTCCTAGCTGGTCCCGGCAGCGGGCCGGAAGGCAGTAAGCTATCCTCCGAGTTGGACAAGACACTTGATATGTCTCAACTTGAGGTCTTCTGCGGTGAGCTAAAGGAAAGCTGGGAGGAAGGGTTGAATGGCCTAGTCGCCGTAACCCTGTGAGAGCATCTTGCCCTTCACTTTCTCCTTACACAGGAATTAAAAGGCGGCCACGAAACCTTCATTATATAATGCTTCGTCAATCCAGTCTTAAAGCAAGCTTAGTGATTAATCGGACATTCTTCACCAACTGCCTATATCTATTAGTCCATTGGGACAATGCGAAAACTAATCATCGCCTTCCGTGCAAACTGCATACAGCCCCGATGGAGTGGAGACAGCTGAAATCTCTTGGGTATGTAAGACTGGTTCGACCTAGACCACGAGGCTGAGTGGCGTGAATGTCGGTCCGGTCCTGCAAGGGCGCTTATGCGTGTAGCGAAACAGTCATTCTTCTATCCCTTGTTTGCGTACCGACTCCGATCGGATGCATACTGGATTTTCTTGATCATCACCATCCTCCTCTTCTTCATTATTTTGCTTGCTTTAGTTCTTTATGTGCATGCTATCGACCAGATGAAGCAGGCTGTAGGTGCATGTTGGACTACGAGGCACGCCATTGCCGAGAAATGTTACACGACCATCGCGCATCGAGAGGAAAAAGGAGTACAGAATATCACGACGGGTAGTTCTTGCCCGATCCCATGCCTGTGTGTGCCACGCACACATTCCTTGTCAGGTGTGGTTGTCGCCTTGCGTCGCCGGCTCACGGCAGGTGGTGGTGGTCGATTTCAATCACAGTGTCACTCAGTCGTCAGCCATTGTAGCAGAGCAAGCTTTCCTATATATGTATCAGCCAGTAAGCTCGTATTATGACTGCCAGTGTTTGAAGCTGCAGACTTTGTTTCAGCATGATCTGCTTCTAGGCTTCAACATCCCCCTGTGGTCATATATTTGCTTGTCTTTGTTTCCCTCTCTGGACAATGGGTGATGCCAACAATGGCTCTACTACATTGATGTATGACTACAGACGCTCGTTGCGATCTGAAGACATACTCACCCAGACGGTATGCCTCACGGTCAGTACGTGCTGTCTTGGGATGCGCTTGTATTCGAAGATCTCCATCACACGAGCTCCAGGTTGGGAGGATTGTATGTACTGCGTCCCTGGGGAGTGAGCCAGCTCGCTGGGAACATTGAGTTAATAGTATGCTGAACAACGAATTCTAATAGTGACTTGTTTCCTGGCTTGGGTATGCGGTTAGAGCTGCCAACCTGCTACCTGTTCACACACTGAACTACTCTCTATGACATGACCAGCTTGGCCTGATAGGATATGCCGCCATCACTTTCGAGACAGACCGACATGGTAACGGCATTCACCAATTGGCTGTCGCTGCATCTGATCTAAGAGAATTCTCAAAGGTATGAGAGGATCCAGCCGCGGCCAGCTTCTTTCGTCTTTGCTGACGATGACCATGTAGCTTGCGAACGCATCGCAGGTCCTCTACGGCCCTTTGATCTATATCACTAAGCTATCCATCCTACTCTTATATCTCCGCCTCTTCGCGCCGTCGACTCGCAACACGCCTTTCTGGCTCATCCAAACCCTCATCTGGATGAATTTCCTCTTCTACTTCGCCGACACTATCGTCAAGATCTGCGAATGCAAACCTCGCTCCAAGATCTGGGACCAAGACATCCCCGGGCAGTGTATCAACATCAACATCCCAATTCTGGTCACGTCCATCGTGAACGTTGTTTCGGACTTTCTCATGCTTCTGCTTCCAATTGTCTGTGTCTGGCGCTTACAGATGACCTGGTGGAAGAAGATGGGCCTGTCGGCTGTATTTGCAGCCGGCATCTTGTACGCTGTTCTCCCTTCCGCTCTTGGATCTATTTCACCTTTTTTCTTATCTGGTCTGGCTAAAGACCAGAACAGTCTGAATGGGGTTGGAAGCTGAAAAAAATACCTTTCATAGTGCTTGCATCTGCAGCGTGATGCGTCTCGTCGTCAGTGTCCGAAACCGCACCACAAGGGACAGAACGCATGACTGGTTCCCGGAGTTCCTATGGACGTGAGTGCTCTTCTACTTCCCTTTATTCTTCCCGAGACGCATTGTTCAGCACACAGCCACTACCTATCGCGATGAAGCGGAATCATAGACTAAAGTGCTGGTTACTGTCATCGATTTAGTACCGCCGAAATCACCTCGGGGATCGTCGCTAGTTGTCTGCCCGCCCTGCCGAGTTTCTTCAGGCATTCGTCCCAGAAAGCCAAGGCTTGGGTATCGAGCATCGGCACGGGGAGCGCTTCAATCCAGGTGAAGGGACCCCTTGCCGCCAGCAACCCGGCAATGCGGATTATTCCGCAGCGGCTCTGGAAATCTGGACACGACTGCACGGGCACGGAGTCGACGGCAGATAACTACTGGGAGATGAGGGATGTTGGGGCTTATCGAGGGATTTGCTATACTACGACGGAGGCTACCGCCAATCGGAGCGTACCAGAGGGAATCAATGTGGATGTCCCCAATTCAAGAAGTGAGGGAGAGCAGAGGCCCAGAGCCGGGATCTTGAAGATCGTCGAGGTAGATATTGAGACTGGACCTGAGATGGAGCGATGAGGATGCATAAGAAGGACTAACCAGCGGGTGATTTGTGATCAGGCTTTTGGAATTGATGATGTATATAACTCAACTAAGAGGTATTTGTATAAGCAAAGATCTTTGCGAGGAAGTACGTGTGTGAGGTGGTTTATGCGAGCGAGGAATCCCGCGAGAAATCACGGCGATGGTAGCCCGATGGCCAGCCCCTCGTAGGGAGAAGCAATACTCCATAGTGTAAGTAAACAGGTATGGAGCAAGGTTGGGGAAAAGTGAAAGCTGGAAGCCACTTTCTCCACAGTATACCTGAGGCATGAAATTCCGATAAGCGACAATCGATAAGAGATAAGCTTGGCACGTGACAGCCGTGTAGCAGCCCTAAGCCCTACCCTCGCTACGCACTCCCGCAACGGCCAACCAAAAACTGGCAGACTCCATCGCGACTCCCATCCGCACCGGCGCACGTCGACTCGACAATCTCTCAGCAGCAACACCGTCGTCGCCAACCGCAGTCCATAACCGTCGTGATGGCTCAGGAACGCTCCGGAATCGTGGTCGGCCTCAACAAGGGTCACGTACGTTGTCCCCTGTTCTTTTGATCTCCTGCAACAAACGATTTGATCCGGTCGAGTGTGGTGTGGAAATTTGTCGGGGGTGGGAAACATACACGGGAAGGAGGATTTTTCTATGCCAAGAGCAGGGTGAATTATTGTCGAAACCAGAGATATCACCATGCTATTAAGAAAGCACTCTGGGGGTTCGTGGAATTGAAGAAGGGCATCAGGGACTTTGTTTTTTTTGAAGGGGAAGGAACTCTTTCGAACCTGACCCACTCGGCTGGATCAAATTGCGCTTCACTTGCGCTATATTTCTTCGTGAAATCGCAGAGGAATCTTCGGCCATGGAGAAAGACAGACACAGTTACTGACCTGATGCTTCGGCCATACAGAAGACCACCCCTCTCAACACCCCCAAGACCCGGGTCAGCCGTACCAAGGGCCAGTCTTCCCGCCGTACCGCTTTCGTTCGTGAGATCGCCCGCGAGGTTGTCGGTCTTGCCCCCTATGAGCGCCGCATCATCGAACTCCTGAGAAACACTCAGGACAAGCGCGCTCGTAAGCTCGCCAAGAAGAGGGTACGTCTTTGCATGATGAAATTCTATGATGGTGAAGGGAATGGGAAAAGGGTTCGCACGCAGCTCGTTTCGTTTCGGTTTTGCGGCACTTCATGTCGTTGGTCATCCTCGACAATCATCACTCGATATCGGAGAACTGTAGTTCTCTTCAGCTCCAACTTGGATTGCATCGAACTCGCATCGACTTCTCGATATCTTATCCTATGATTTCCACCGTTGCCAGTTCGACTGCAACCAAAGACCACATCTACCCTCTACGAACAACCAAACCGATGTGATGAACCTGAAACCGAAACACGAGCCAGCTCACCGAATTCCATTCCCCCAACCATTCCCCTTTGTCTATACCCTTTGTTCCCTGCAATAACTAACATATAACTCTCCAATATAGCTCGGTACCTTCGGCCGTGGCAAGAGAAAGGTCGAGGACATGCAGCGGGTCATCGCCGAGGCCCGTCGTGTTGGTGCTCACTAAACGTCTTTTTTCTCTCCATTTTCCTACCAAAAAACCAACCAACTGTGTTTCTCTCTCCCGATTAGCCAAGAATGAGATAACGAGAACAAAAATCATTCTTCTCTTTTTTTAATCATCAGAAGAAAGGATACAACAATAATGGAATATGAAGAAAAAGAGGATTAGTCAGTGACGAGGGAAAACACCCCGCACGTCGCCCACCCCAAGAAATAAATAAAATACCCTTTTTCGGCCTACTTTCTTCGTGCATCGTAGATTTGGTTGTATATGCTTTTTTTTTTTTCCTGTAAGATTGGATGATTGTAATGAATTTGGACGGTGGATGGTGGTCTAGGCCTACGTAGGCTCTAGGCTTTGGTCATGAATTGGTTATGAATTACCTTGATGATGGGTTGGACGATTAGTTGGCTCAGGTGGAGAAGGAGCAAGTGGTAGCCCGGGTTCTCTCATGTTGCCCTTTCTGGTCGCATTGAATCAATGCGGCGATGAGGCATACGCATCATGGAGAGTGATAACGGATAAGCTACTGCTTCTAGAACTGCAGTGTTTCCCACTGTTCATGTAATTTGAATAACGTCCACTATGTAAACGGATCTTAAAGTTTATATCCTCGCTACTACCACTCGTAATCGATGGCCATGTCAGTATCATACGATCATGTGAAGCATTTCATTCATTATCTATGTTCGAAGTCTACAACAACGTTCTCGTCAATCCCCTTATTTCTTACCTGGCAACTTCAGCCACTTGGGTATTCCACCGGGCTTCCGCTTCTCGCCCGTCTTGGTCTCATTATTGCCCGTGGTCCCCAATGCCCGACCACGCGCGTCCTCGGCGGTCTCCTTCACCTCCGGGGGCTGCTCCACCCTGATCTCCTGAGCCCGGGTCCGCAACTCCGGCTTCAGGAGCTCGCGGCTCGCGTGAGCCGCCTGGGAAGCACTCTCATCCCAGCTGAAGTTGACCAGCACCCGGCCCGCCAGGCCCAGGTCTCGGATCAGATGCGTCTGGTCCGAGTCGGGGATCACCTCCTGGATCTTTCGAGCGCTCCCGCCGCCACCGCGCGAGCCCGCGGGGAGGTACGTGATGACGAACCTTTCTGTGCTAGCAAACGGCGCGGCCAGACAATTGCGCACGAAGTCGTACAGCGTCCGTCCCGTGTCCTCCCGGCCGAATTTGGCCACGACCTGGCTTTGGTCGGGGAGGCGGACTTTCACCTCTACGTCAGCGATGGCGGCCCGCTTTTCCTCCTCGGCGGCCGCTTTGGCGGCGATCTCGGCATCCGTGGGGAGTCGCTGGGGTCGTGAGGCGGCGTTGAGGCGGCGTTGATGGGCTTGTGCATGGTCCAGGGATGGGATGTAATCGGCTTCGTTGTAGGTGGTTTGCGCGGACTGCGGCGTGTCGCCAGATGGAGGGGAGAAGACGGTCACGGGGCGTGAGAAACCAGCGGGGACCTCTGATGGATCTGAGGCCGATATGGTGGGTTGAGGGGCAGGGGCAGGGGCAGTAGGTTGTTCTGGTGCTGATGCCGCCGCTGATGTAGATACGGGGTTGGGCTCGGGCTCGGAATCCCGCTGTTCAACAGCCATACCATTCTCCAGCGGCGTTTCTGCAGATGCAGGCACCTCTTCTTGCTTTGGGGTTGGGTCCTCGGAGGTCTGGAAGTATTCCTGGATTTTGACCATCGCTTCCTCCAATGGCTCTTCCGTCCGCCGGAAGCTGAGCCTTAGTAGCACGTTGCCGCTGTTAAAACCAAGTTGTGCGAGTGACTTTTGAAAATCTGCAAAAGAGGACAGCTCCCGTTGTAGGACCTGGACTACTGGCGTCTCGTAATATAGTCTACCTGCGCCCTCGTTGCCACTTGGTACGCCGCGACCCGTCAGGTTGCGGGTCGAAGTACTGCCAGCAACGCCCGCCTCAAATTTGCGCAAGATAAACCAGATTGTTGTTGTGCTGGGAAACTTGTCCATGAGCCGCCCGTTGGGAGCTCCCCGTGCTTCTGATTCGGGGAGTTGTAACGCGACTGTGACGACCGAGGGGGATCGAGACGATTGGACCAGCTCCAACTTGGCACCGGAGGCAAGTCCTGACAGTCGAAAGACGAGCGACATGTCGAGCTCTTTACCTTTGTATCTTGAAAAAGACGGTGTCAGTTGAATGCACAACGGACTATAGGTTCAATACTATGGCGGGGTTGTGTTATGGCGGGAGACTTACTTTAGCCCATGTTGACTGGGATCTACACCAAGCTTGGTGCAGGCCTCTTGCAGTATGTCGGTCAGATGCTTGCTTGGGGTAGTCTTGACAGTAGCTCTTCGAGCTGTCGAGTCCAGGACCACGACATGCGAGCTCATGATGCGAGGCTGCGGGGTGTGGCAGTTAAGGTAATCAAGTCGAAAAAGAACAGCAGGCCTGCTGGGATAGCTTGTGGAGAAGTTCAACGGTGCTTGTTTTGTGTCTATCCGTCAGGTCCTAAGCCCAAAGACAAATAATAGTCAAAGAAGATATACAGGACAAAAGTTGAAGGTTGAAGGCTGACAAACCGAAGTTGAGATAGCTAAGTTAGGTGAGAATGTACAGTCCTGTACTGTAGGCAGCGGGCGCAAGCGTCATCGGAAGAAGCTCGGCGGCTCCACGCGTTGCTGGCAGAGCTTCAGTTCAACTCCGTCCATCTCCATCCATCCTCCGCCCATCCATTCTCCCTCCCAACCATCCTCCTCCCCTTCATCTCTGCTTCGCTGTTACTTCTCCTTCTCTCTACCTCTACCTTCTCTACCGCAGTTTATTCCTTTACAACCTCTGTATCGCCCGAATCACTCACAATTTCACCCCAATCATGGTAAGTTGGCCCTGCGTGACCTCAACCGTCTGAGCAGAGCAAGCATGCTGACCAAACCGTTTTCCCCAGAGTTCTCCCTTCGATATCAGTGCGTACCCTCGATGATCTACATTCCGATAATCTGTACAATGACTGACCCCCAGCTGCGCAGATGGCGGTGCCTGCGTCGCCATGGTGGGTAAGGACTGCGTTGCCATCGCCTGCGATCTCCGCCTGGGCATGCAGGCCTTGACCGTCTCCAACAATTTCCCCAAGATCTTCAACTACGGCCCGTCGACCTTCCTCGGCTTGACGGGTCTGGCGACCGATGTGGCGACCGTGTCCGACCTTTTCCGCTTCAAAGTGAACATGTACCGTCTCCGCGAGGAGCGGAACATCGCGCCCCAGACCCTGGCCAACCTGGTCAGCTCTTCGTTGTACGAGAAGCGTTTCGGTCCTTTCTTCGTCAGCCCTGTCATTGCCGGCATCAACAGCACAACGGGCAAGCCCTTCATCTGCGGGTTCGACAGCATTGGGTGTATCGATTTCGCCAAGGACTTCATTGTGAGCGGAACCGCAAGTGATCAGCTGTTCGGTACTTGCGAGGGTCTGTGGGAGCCGGACTTGGTATGTGTCCTTACGCCTCGGAGGGGTCATCTTGTCGGATCAGATGCTAACTGAGGTTGATTGCCCTTGACAGGCTCCGGAGGACCTGTTCGAGACCATCTCCCAAGCCCTGCTCAGTGCGGTCGACCGAGACGCTCTTTCCGGTTGGGGTGCACAGGTTTACATAATAGAGAAAGATAAGGTTACCAAGAGACTATTGAAGGGAAGGCAGGATTAGACAAGATAATTACTTGGATCATGAATTTGTGTTATTTTCCCCCGCTGCAGTTATGCTCATTGTCTGCTCTCTAATATGACGTTTCCATCCATCCTCCCTTCCCCATCTAGGTGCGGTCAACACTGCTGAGGCAGAGCTGAGAGAGTGTGCGAGTCCAGACAATGACAAGCATATCCTAGTTGCTTGCGGTCTGACCGCGATCAACTCTTCTTACAGAAATCGCGCTACATGTTATTCCCAGGTACCGGCTTTTAGTACCAGGCGATGGGCGTGTGATCCGAGCATCTCCCGATGCTGGTGCGTCGGTACTTACTCCCGAGGTCAGCCACTGCTCCATGCATCCTGGGTTCGGCTGTTGGTGGGGAAATGTAAGCTTCTACCCTGTATTCAACGGTGAGTTGCACGGCCCCGAACTCCTACCGTGGACAGCTTAGAGTCACGTTGTCACCGGCTGGGACTGTAGGTGGAACCTCAGATATGCATGTGTTCCCGTCGTCCTGGGTAGGAGGTGAAGTAGATCAGGGTCTGTTGACAAGATGGAGGAGAGCTAGCTGGCTTGTGGCATGCTAATCTCGGCTCGCATGCACCTGAAAGCTGCACTGGTACGTGATAGATGACATCGTAGAGGTATAGCCATTACAACAAGAATGACTTGGGAAGCGTTCAGCAAGCTAATATGCAAGGAAATTGAATTGGACGATGAGTGGACTCAGCGTGCGAAATACAGCTACTAATCGGCAAGGCCATGCTTGATGTTTATCTTTCAAGGGAGAGAAGGGCGAAAGATGACTGGTGTAAAAGCGAGATCCATCACATAGTCGCATAGTCCACAGGAAGGACCTCTCAGATTCCCTAGGACCCTAGTCAATCTAAATAGTGAGCCCCCCTAAGTAAACACTACACTACCTCGTTATTTCCACCCCCTTCCAACCAGCTACAGCAAGCATATCAGCGTTCGCAGTCCGTAGCCCTCAGGCTATTCAGACCCAATCCAAAAGCGCGAGACTACATCATGATTCTCAGCGGACTCGAAGTCGTCACCCGCCAGTTGGTGCGTAACCTACGGCATGTTCCCCAGCAACGACAACCGTGCGGAGTCGACCTTACTTTACGCCAGGTCTCCAAATGGACCTCCGCGGCCACCATCGACTTCGACAATACCAAGCGTCAAGGAGCCCAGACGTCGAGCCTGCCCTTCGACACCACCAGCCACGCAATCACACTACAGCCAGGCGCCTACTTAGTCGACTTCAACGAGACCGTCCACGTCCCACGAAATTGCATGGGGAGCGTATTCCCCCGATCGTCGCTCTGGCGGTCTGGCGTGGGGATCGCGGCCGGAGTGGTCGACGCTGGGTATGAGGGTGCAATGGGAGCTTTACTGGAGGTGAAGAACCCCCATGGAGTCGTGCTGTACCGAGATGCCAAGCTCGCCCAGATTGTCTTCGAGGAACTGGGGGAAACCGTCGAGGGGTATCAGGGGATCTACCAGTCTTCGACGAGCAGCGTGGGGCGCAATGGGACATAAGACTGAGGGAAGATGAAAGGACAAACAAAATGTCGGACGAGGTCGGATGATTCGTTTATTCGGAGGTTCATGGAGTCAGGTGCGCCGTGACTCAAGTCTGCGATCTTTGTGTCCTTCGTGATCTATGCATATCCCACAAAGGGAACGGAGATAGAGTCAATGACTCCTTGTGGCAGATCAGTTCTAGCTTTTGTTTTTTTTTTTTTTCTTTGCTTCGTCCGGATGCTCCGAGTTGCAGACGATGACCAGCTATAGCGCTGCGATCTTACAGGAGGAAGGAATATGCCGCAAGGTGTGAAGAGAGAGAGAGAGAGGTTCGGACAGGTTGTTTGGTTGCCAGTCGAGGAAAGAGTCAATCAAGTCTGGGCCGGGAAAAGCGGCAGATGGTCGGTCGGTCCATGGATTGAAGCCCTGGAGACATCAAGTGACGGTCGTCCATTGCCTAGAAATCGTTTGTTGATGGGTCCATCTTATACTTTCTCTACCATGGTCACCTTCCGGTAAACAAGAAAGAAGTAGATCGTACTCTCCTGTATATGTCGATTAGTTTCGGGGAGAAATTCGTGAAGATATCAATCAACTGACATGCAGACGATGAACAGACGAAGCAAAAGAAGGGGGCAAGTTTCAGCCTCCCCGCGTCTAGACCCGGCGATCGGCCCAAACTGGCCCCATCGATTTCTCAGTCACTTTCTTTTCCCCTCTTCCCAATGCCAACTCCTCTCCAACCTTGAACCTCGAACCTCCTCTTCGTCCTCAATCTCCCTGCGTTGGCTGCTGTACTAACCGGCTTAGCACCATGAACTACATCTAACCCACTACAAGTAATCTTCTGTGTCTCTTTCCAATCTGATAATACTTGCTTTCCCCACCTTGTTCTGGACCTCCTCTCGCTTGTCCCCTAAACTTCCCTCCCCCGAGTTTCCCTGTCCCCGTGCCATTATCTCTCGCATGCTGGCCTTCTCTCGCCCTTTCTCCGCTGCCCCTCAACCGCGGATTGTTCGTGTCAATGACCAATCTTGGCTTTCAACAATTGAACATCCTGTCAGCAGATCTTTGGAATATCCAATCTTTCACAACAGTTAGAATCACCAACGCTGGTTCGGCACTTTAGACCGAGACATCCGCCAACTCCCCTACAGAAACTTCAGAGTCAAAACACGGAAGCAAAAAACAGGGAAAACTTCAACGTTTCCAGAACAATCAGAAAACAAGAACCTCGATTGCTCTCAATAACAGCCTGGCATCTCACCGATAAATATTTCCTCTTAGCAGCCTTGTTGCAGAAATTTCTATTGCCAGCAGCTGCCTGCTCTTCCTTCAACTTTCCCTTCCACCGCCGCGCGGTATCGCTCAGCGTGGGCTTCGACTCGACCAGCTTAAGTGATGTATGTCTTCACCAGTTCTAGAATGGGATTGCCCGGGATGTGCTCCGCGGAGAACACCTGGTCGAAAGCACCTTTGTTTGCTCGTGATCCCCGCTTGCTAACATTTTCTGGACAACCCCAGACTGAACGCCATGCGCTGTGTCCCTTCCATAGAATCCGGTCGTAATTCGCTGATCTTTCATCAATCTCCTTCAGTTTCCTGGCGCCCTCCTATATTATAATTTGCCAGGACCCTAAGTCTCGCTCGCGGTGGAATCTGTTTTGGACACATCAACAATTCCATCCACGCAGGGCGATCAACCCCCTCGGGACACCATGCCCGACTCAGCGGACCCCGAATGGTCAACCTCATTCGCATCTGGTCCTACCATGTCTTTGCTCCCGACTCAGTGCCTTCCCGGTGATGTGCCTGCAGCTACCTTTCTTGACGACGATGCGCAGGCCGATTCGTCCGGTCGCCGATATATCGGTGGACCCCAGAGTTTCGCAATCGAAAGGCTGGTGAAGCTAAAGCAAGAGCTTCGTCCCTTGGATTCGGAAAAATTCTGGCATCAATTAATGGAGCAAATAAGTCTTATATGCAAGGCTCAATATGTCTTCGTCGCTCGCAGGGCTCGGGACGACGAATCCACGAATGAGATAGAAGGCCACAAAACGATGTTGTTTGGTACCGCCTTCTATTATAATGATGGACACCGCACAGCAGGCATGCACAGACGCAGGTACTTCGCTGGCGGAAATCCTCTCTCGCACATGGACCGTGAGAAGCCATGTCTAATCCCTGAGAAATTAGGATCCTTCATCTCCTTTGACCGGGACCAGCTTCCATTTGCCGCCGAGGGATACCTGGCTGTACCGCTCTTCTCAGGAACAAAGTGTCTTGCATTTTTTGGACTCATGTGGTCGGAACCGGGCTTGCAGAAGCGTAATCTTTCGTGGTCGCTTCTCGAGATGATCTTATATTCTCTTGAAGACTTGGTTGCTCAGCGGATTTGCGACGACGTGGATCCTACAGTTACTGTGAACTCCGGTCAAGAGAGCACCGAATTTTCTCGAGGCAAGACATGCGTTGTCGGCGATGTGAATATCGGGGTTGTCCATGGATCTGCAGACTTCTCATCGCAGCCACTAAAGCCCTACGCGAGGAGCTTGTCCCACGAGCTTCGGACACCGATGCAGGGCGTGGTCGGGATGCTGGACGTCATGCATGCCACGGTCCGCGAAGCCATCCAAGACAAGCCATCGCCGAAGGCTGGATTTGTCTTTCGCACCCTTAAGGAGAGTATTGAGATGGTCCAAGGTCAGCCTCCGTTCCCCCATCGCCTATATGAACTTCATGCTGATTTCCAATGTTTTGGATGGTACAGATAGTGCACGCAGAGCTGTCGAGGCAGCAGATAATGTTGTTCATGCCTACGATATGAACATGCAGGTCCCCAAAACCCCCCAGTGTGAACGGGACGACTTCTTCAGTGGTCCGTCGCAGAGTCCGGTTGGTGCGAGCGAGGGTCGACCGACCATTTTCGGGGAAAGGAGCAACATCACAGTTAATCCTTACAAGCGACGACGCAGTAACCCTCCAGACTGGAACGCTAGTCAGCCTCCAAAGTCAAAAGCGCCGCGGGTTTCCGCTCCCAGAGGCCTTTCGCCTCGCAGCGAAGAGGTCAAAAATGCGGTCCACGAAAGTGAAAAACTGCTCAAGGCTACTCCCGCTCACGAGATTGAAGCAGTGATGGCGAACGTGGTTGATCCCCGTCCGTCTCTAGCTGTTCGGCGTTCGGCACCCCACTTGCTACTCGAGGGCATCAATGTCAATCAGCAGGTTCCGGCTCTAAGAATGACGAAACTCCGTGATCTACTCCGCCTAGTCATCAACGAGTCCTTGCATGTGGGTGGTCGACCCGACTTTGCTGTGAGTAACGCGACAGAGCAAGGAGAGAGGATTGAAGTCCGTTCGCGGTCATCCAATGGCGAGGTCTTTTCGAAGACAATCGACTGGTCTGTCGATCCGGCCCTTCCAGAGACTCTGTTCGTGGATGACCGAGACCTGGCCAAGCTGATATCGTGTGTCTTTCTCAATGCTGTCAAGTTCACCAACAGCGGAATGATCACAGTGACTGCCACGGTTGGCCGCAAGGCGAACGATGTCTTGATAAGCATCAAGGACACCGGCCCAGGTATCCCGGATGATTTCTTACCCAAACTTTTCAGGCCATTCGCCCGCGAAGACACATCCACTACCCGCAGCAAAGATGGGCTTGGCTTGGGTCTCCTTGTGGCCAAGGGGCTATCTAGGAAAATGGGCGGTGATCTTATTTGTGTTCGCTCCTCGACATCGGGGCCGGATCGTGGCTCGGAGTTTGAGATTAGAATCCCTGCCAATCAGCCTGAGCCTTCGGCAGACCGACCTTTGCTGCCTCCAAAACTGCTTACACCTCCCCAGCTCACTGAGACGATGCGGCTGACCAATGTGAGCACTATCACGCCGGAATTCTCCTCACTGTTGCCTACCCCGCGGACTCCTGGTTCAGAGGTCCAGCAACCATCTCCGTTTCTGACTGATGAGCCACCGTCGTTGACTACAACGCCTGCGCCTCCGCCTCCCAGGAGCACACCACCACAACGCCACATCAACGGTGATACTCACGACAGCCGTCTCGGGGAGAAACATCCCTTGACGTTTCTGGTGGCAGAGGATAACAAAATTAACCGGCGAGTCTTAGTGCACATGTTGAAGCGACTTGGTTACAAAGATATATATGAGGCCTGTAACGGCAAGGAAGCTGTCCGCATCATGCACGATGTTCTTGGGGCACAGCGTCCCGGTCAACAAAGCTCGAGTCAAGATTCGAAACTAGTGAATGAGTCCGACGGCTTCACAGTTCCCAAACCACCCAGTCAAACCAAAACACGAAAACTAGTGGACGTGGTATTGATGGATCTCTGGATGCCAGAGATGGATGGCTACGAGGCCACTTCTAAGATTCTACGGATGGTTGATGAACACCGGAGCATTCCCTTCGACGCTCAGACTGACCAGCACCTTACCGACACACAACCTCCCACAGTCCTGGCTGTCAGTGCCGATGTCACAGACGAGGCTCTAAACCGTGCCACGAAGGTTGGCATGAAGGGTTACATGACCAAGCCGTACAAGCTCTCAGACTTGGAACGGCTGATCCTGGGCTTTTGCAGCAATAATACCTCACGGCCGCACGATGATTCGATGAATGCATGAAATCGTCTATTTCTGTTTTGTTCTTGGAACTCGTTTTCTTTCCTGTTTCTCGCTCGATACCTCACTGCTGACCTTCCTTTCTACTCTTTTGCTACCGCCCACTCGGGCCAGACTAGTATTGTCTTCTGCCGTGGACTCCTTTTCTCCACATGGTGTTTCTATAGATAATTTTTCTGTTGCTGATGTTTGGATGAGCGATCTTGTGCACCCTTAATGATCTATGACCAGGGGCAAAAACGGAGAGCTCAATAAACGAGAGCTCGATGGACTTGGAATACAACCAATCCAATTCGATGGTGATCCTTTTCGATATGGGCTGTTCACAATGCTACGCATTGATAGTGAATAGGCGGTAATAATTAGTCCATTTCCAGTGTTGTGTGCTGAATGGACGGAATAAGTTGCATTGTGCACATTTTGTTGAGGATCTTACGGGTCTCCGTACACTTTATATATACCCCCTGACGGCTCCGAGCAGTCCATGCAGACCAAGGCTACTCACATAAAGGACTCGAATCATCAATCGTCACTGTGAGAACATATGATTACCTTACATGCCTTGACTCTATATCTTTGAGCATAGCAGCACAGCCTAAACGTGAAGAAGATCATCTAGATCATGTCACGTGCCCGCAAGACACAAAAAAAAACATGGGGAAATACGAACGACTTAGGAAGGTTATTACATCGCTGAACATAAAACACCGATCACATAAAGCTACCGGGTCTGATTTATTTCTCTTTCTCTCAATCTTCTTTCATTCCCTCACAAAACCAAGGAGAAAATCAAAATCATAGCTCGAAAAGAGAACCCTCCCCGGCCCGATCAACATCGGCATTTATGTAAGCTTCTGCTTGATGAAGAACGAGCGGAGATGCGAGAGTTGCCAGGCACAAGCGGCGGAGAGAACGAACAGCTGGATCAGGGTCCACCGGACGACGCGGGAGTTGGTCGCCTCGGACTGGTCGCGAAATTCGGCCTCACGTTCCTGGTGTTGTGGGTTAGCAAGCTTGTTCATTAACACTGGGAAGCAGAGGGCTGGGGCGGAGTGAGGTCCTTTTCTCAAAGTACAGAGAGAAGAACACCCGCATCGTCGTTGACAGAAAAGGAGGACTGGGTCACAAGGAAAATGGAGTAATAGATGACATACCCGCTGGAACACCTGCTCTCGCCGGATATCCTGCAAGCGACCGTTGAGGTCCTTGACCTTCTGCACAATGTCCTGCATCTTATCCTTGTCCTCCGATTCGATCTTGCTGGTCTCGCCGATGGCCATGTCGAGGGTGACCTGGACAGCGCCGGCCTGGGCGCCGGACAGCCAGCCGCCCGTGGCGGCGTTGGTCTCCGGGGTGAGGCAGATCTTGTGCAGGCCGGCGTCGGCGGCAGAGAAGGTCCAGCGGCCCGAGTGGCCGTCGCGCTTGGAGACGACGCGGTGGTCGTTGTCGAAGATCTCGTCCACGGTGATGAGCATCTTCAGGTTGGGGTCGACGATATACGTGTTCGATTGTTCGTTGATGACGGCCGTCGAGTAGGTGCCTGTCGTTGCTTCAGCTTAGCTTTGCGTGTGTGACTTGATGACGATCTTGTTTGTGGAGATTACTGACCGACAACGAGGGTGTCCTTGGGAAGCTCCTCATAGAAGCACTTGGTTTGGCGCCCGTCCATGAAGAAGTAGAGGGCATTGGCGGGCACCGACAGGCACAGGATGGCACATACGGCCAGCGCAGAGGAGAGCCATGAGGCCGATGATCGAGACGGAGCCATGATGCGATCCAGATTCAGGAACAGATTAACCTAAGAACCCGAGGGAATGAGAAGAGGGGGGAGGAAACAAAAAGAGGAGGGCAAGTTGGCTGGTAGAGCAAGTAGAGAAGGACAGATTAGGATGGCGGCAGCAGCAGCAGTTGAAACCAACAATACCAGAAGAACTGGCCCGAGTCGGTCTTGGCGCGAATTCATCCTCTCTTCAATTCCTCCCTCCGCCCACTCCAACCCCCTCTCAGTCAACTCTATCACTCTCGTCGTAGCCGTCATCACCTTCCATCGCATTTATCGTTTGACTTGACCCTTGAACAGATTATCTACGCTTGATTTGATCCTTCATCCTCTCCCGATCGCCCCGGGGTTCCGCCCGTCATGGCTGCCGCCGATGTTCGCGACATGCTGGATTTGCCCGCGGAGGGCCAGCCACGTCCGCTCAAGAAGCAGAAAGTGACCGAGAAGAGACCAGGTAGGCTCCAGTGCTTGCGCTTCTATACCCAAGACTCTCTAACATCTTAATCTCTATCTAGAGGGTATTACTCGTGAGCTCTTCGCCTTACTAGGCGAGCGGGCACCTCCGATCGCAATCAACGAGAACCGCTACAAGGGCCGTCCCAAATGGATGAGCAAGCTGCGTGTCCGCCCTTGGTAGGATTGATGCCTCATTATTTGCCCTAGCGAGTCACTAACATGGCTTGACACTCAGGCGGATGGCGCCATTCGAGAACGGCGCGCGATCGGACGGTCTCGTGCTGCGCCATTGGCAGCGACAGAACGAGCCCGCGAAATCCGCTCTCGAGGGATCTGAGATGGAAGTGGACGAGAAGACGGACGGCCAGAACGCGTCAGAGACGGTAGAGAAGGATTACATGTTCGCCAAATACAACATCAAGGCGCGCGTGCCGAACCGCTACACCGATGAGGAGTACAACCGCCATCTGAAGAATGACGACTGGACTCGCCAGGAAACGGACTACTTGATGGATCTGGTTGAGGAGTACGATCTCCGCTGGGTGGTGATTGCCGACCGCTACGATTACCAACCGCATCCCGTCGACGCGGCGACGAACACGACGGCCCTCGTCCCGGCCAAACGATACCGGACAATGGAACAGATGAAAGCCCGCTTCTACTTCATCGCCGCATCCATGCTCGCCTTGGAACACCCCCCGTCCGAGATGTCCGAGGCCGAATTCGAACTGCACGAGAAGATGATGAAGTTCGACCCGGAACGCGAGCGCTCCCGCAAGGAGCTCGCGGCTCTGCAGCTCAACCGCACCGCCGACGAAGTCCGCGAGGAGAGTATCCTCCTGGAAGAGCTCAAACGCATCACCGCCAACGAGCAAGAGTTCATCACCGAGCGCCGGGAGCTCTACTCCCGCCTCGAGGTCCCCATCAGCGTCGGCAACACCACCATGTACCAGTCCAGCCAGGGTCTCTCGCAACTCCTCCAGACCCTCCTCCAAGCCGACAAGAGCAAGAAGCGTCGCTCGATCCTGGGCCCCGAAAGCGCAGGCGCCGCTCCCAGCCCGGCCGGGCAGACTCCCGCCTCCAACGCCCCCGGCAGCGCCCGGGACAGCCGCGCTGATACCCCCAATGCCTCCGCGCCCGCCGCCGCCGCCGCTGCTGCTGCTGCTGCCGCCCCCACCAACAAGAAGGCCGCCGCTGCCGCTGGCGCCGCCGCCGCAGCAGCCGCGACCAAGGAAGCCGAAAAGACCGTCAAGACGCTCACACCTGCCGAGGAAGCCAAGTACGGCGTCCAGCACCACGAGCGGCTGGCGCCCGGGGTGCAGTTCCGGAGCGATCGCGCCCAGAAGCTCACGCAGGCCAAATCCAACGTGCAGACGCAGAAGCTGGCGGCCGCGCTGGCCGAGCTCGCCGTGCCGCTCCGCCTCGTCATGCCCACGGAGCGCGTGTGCAAGGAGTTCGAGAAGCTGATCCACTCGGTCAATCTGCTGCTCGACGCGCGCAAGGTCGCCGAGAAGGTCGAGAGCGAGATCCGCGTGCTCGAGGCCGCCAAGGAGGAGCGCGAGCGCAAGACCAAGGAGTCCCAGCCGGAGAAGACCACGCCCATCGTCAAACCCGAGGTCAAGGCCGAGCAGCAGGACGAGGAGGATGGCCCGCCGCTGATCCCCGCTGACACTGCCGCCGAGGCCGCCGCGGCTCCGGATCCCCCGGGTCCGGCCACTGCGGAGGGCGAGGCAGCAGCAGCAGAAGAGAAAGGGACGAGTGGCGGGCCTGCTGGCTCGACGCAGGGGCAGGACGGAGCGTCGCACAAACGCTCGGCCAGTGTTTTGAGCAATGTGAGCGATAAGAGCAACAAGCGGCAAAGAAAATAAGGCCTTGAGGCTTTGAGTTGTGTGTTTTGGGCAAGGGCGTTTGATTGGGGAGGGATTCGGGGCGTCTTGGTGCTTTAATATACCTTTGTACGATTATATGAAACCCTTCGCGGTTGCTTTCCAGGATTGCAGACTAAAGATGCATAAACTTCAAATGACTTCGACTTGGTGATAGTCACACCTCATCACATGCTCTCTGTCCACAAGGTCCTTTAGTCGGCCCTTCCCCCGCACCTAGTATGTATAAAACGAATATCCCCAGCGCCTTGTTTAACGTATGCATTCTTGCTCGCCACAAGCTGAGATATCAATAAACAACAATCCCAATCCTGTCATGTCTCTCCCATGGTCGGTGTTGACTACTCCGCCCTGAAGCAGGCCCACCGAGTCTTTGATACAAAGCGCTTAATACCAATAGAAATGTCCCCAAGTCCTCAAGCCCAGAACACAGGTTACATACTCATTGACTCACTCACCTACAGTAAAGATCTCCTCACAATCCTGATAATTGCTTTCCCAGCCATCAGTGACAACAGTCGAGCCAGTCTGTTCCGAGAACTGTTTGCGAACCGGGTCTACGCTAGGTCTGCTTGGTCCATCTTCCTCGTAAGAGGACTTGTGCTTTCCGCCGGGCCATTGCTTTAGAGGAACAATCGGCTCACCATCCTCGTCTGTTTGGGCTCGGCGCTTACGGTCCAAGACCCGGAATTTCATAGCTCGCCCGTCTTTCTTTTGTATCACTGGGAACCGCCCGGCCGACACGTTCAACTTGGCAGCTGCTTTGGCCTCCAGGTCGCGCGCCATCGCAGACATACTGCGGCCTTTAGCCCATAGACTTCCGGTGCGACGCAGGGTCGACCATCTTCCCAGAGACATTCCTCGTCCTTCTGTGCTCATACTGGATGCTGACGGGCTTGCTTGTGGGGGCTGTTGTTCGCTTGGAGATTGGTTAGGATCGACCCAGGCACAGAAATCCCAAGGGTCCTTTACGCCAGCTGAAGGTTCCGGGTCGGATTGATCCTTCTTCTTTTTTGAGAACTTCCCCAGAAGAGAAGACTTGAGAGACTCATCGCCTGTAGTTTCATTAGTAACCCCGGACCAACTGCGAGGGTTGATGTGGCCAATTATGGACGAGATATCGAGACCAGTTCCCGCTTTTTTCGACAGCGAAGTTATATCCTGCTCTTGTGGCTGGTCTTCGGCAAGGCTTGCCTTCGCAGTCTGAATATCAGTCTCCGGTGGCGCGTCTCGGATTGAAGCGCTGGTAGCACATGGACCAGACTGTTCTTCTAGGGGCCTTTCGTTTTCTTCAGCAGCGGATACTAACGTGTACCCATACCCAAGACGCCGACCACCAGACATCCAGCCCACGCTCACTTGCCGGGGCGATACAAGATCTGCGTCAGTGTTAGGTGGAAAGCTGATGTTTGATGAAGCGACTGAAAGGTCTGAGTGAATCAGTTCTACAAATCTCCCGCACGAGGCTAGCGCATTAGTCGGATTGTCATGAACGAGTCTGTAACTCGCAGACTCAGCATTGGCCATATCTTCCAGCAGCCGCGGTGAGCAGTCTCGAGTAGGATGAAGGCTTCTTTGGGATTGTCTCTCGACCGGCGTCGTGTTATGCGCCATTTCTGCCTTGCCCAAGTATATTCTGGATCCCGCCGAATACTGGCTGTCTGGTCGAGAATAGCAGGAGGATGTCTGTTGTGGAAAAGGCCTATATGTCGGTTCACTTACGTCCCTCGCTTTGCCTTTGCCCGCCACTGGGCCATCATCGATGAGCTGTTGCGCTGGCTTCCGCAGCCTGACATCACTGGCCCATGGATTACCCTCGAAGGATTGTTTCGTTGAGAGAACCCTGGGAGAGGTTGTGCAAGATGCCAGCATCCTGTGAATCTCCATATCCTCGAGATGAACGGATTCATTGCCGGAGGCAGACAGTAGAGGCTGCTGTCTTCTCTTCCTAACCGAAAGTCCCGTTGATGGTCCAGCTAGCGAGTCTACAGATGTCGTGTAATGCGTTGGCACCGGGGAGGCGTGGCCTGGAGTCCTCGAGCGATACTCATAACATCCTGAGGACGAGACATGGTTGCCTTCGGGAATATCCGGAGAGCCATGCAGCGGGTTCGCCAGCTTTGGGGTTCCTATTTGAGAAGGTGAAGAGTATCCGTCCTGCTTATCCCATGGCGCACACTCTGTTGACTTTGGAGTGATGAAGCCAGCATGATAAGGTTGTGCAGCTTGTACCCGACGACTTGCACTGCTTGCCACACGGGAGAAAGGAGGAGTTGATGTCGGATGGACGGTCCAGATTGCCTGGCCCATAGAAGACCAAGGATTTCGTGTTCCCTCCAGTATAGTCTGATCTAATCCAGGTGCATTCCATGGGTCTCCATTTGCTGCAAGATATGTACTGCCTGGGGCAGAGTGACCGTTGCTTTCATTCCCACGGGATCGAAGCTTTGACAGCGATGTCTCGTGTGCGAGAGACTCAGCGACTAAGCGTTCTGGTGTGCGGCTGGTTTGTTTGGGGGTGCTGATGAACTGAGCATCACTGTCATAGCCCCTCTCACTCATCAAACTGCTTCCAAGGCCAACAGGGGAGACTGTGTCCAGCCGATTACTGGCGAATCTCGACGGACTGCGGAAGGTAGACGATCCAGATTTCCGCCCGGCCCTCGTGGGGGTTCCATGGAGGCCTTTGTGTTCTCGCGAGAATCGCTTGCGTAATTTGTCCGACAAGCCGCCGGCGGAGGTCCCAGTGGAGGAGAAGCGAACGGCATCTTCTCTGGAGGTGAGCTGAGCTATCACAATCGGATCGTTAACAGATGAGTCTACAAGCAGGGTTTGAGTCACGCTGTACCACTACCCTGACCACTTTCCACAGCTCCATTTGGAGGCGAAGTGACTGGATGCAGTGGATACGCAGGCCCCGTTCCTGGCGGGTCTGGTTTCTTCCAGTACGCGCGGAGCCGGGGGCAAAAGAAAATCCCCATCGTCAATGACTGCTGCGGAGTGTTCAGCAGGGTTGATCAGATGGCGATTGTGGCAATTGGACTCATGAAGCAACCCATGAACGCATGAGCATCGAGAAGACCCAGCCTCCCATGCCTACCTTTGCAATCCTCTCGAGTTGCTGCTGTGCGGAAGGCGGGGCGTGGCGTGAGAGTCGCCGGACCCCAACTGAGGCAGGCGCGTTCGTATTCTCGACTGAGTCCGGTTGATGTGTTTTAGCCATTCTAGAAAGACAGCTTACCACTCTGTGTCCGAGACGAAGCAATAATCAGACTGCAGCAAATCTGGGGAGGGGCATTGCTCAAGTAAAAGTCCCAAGCGCCGGACAGCAGCACTTTGGTCTCCGAACTCGATCGCCGGAGCTCCGAATGATGGAAGCGGGGTTTCTTATCCAACATGGCTGATGCTTCGGACAAATCGAAATCAGTCCGATTGTTTGAGCTTGACTGGAGTGGCAAAAGGACGATACTGATAGTCTCAGCTTCACTTGTTGAAAGCCACTCAACCTTCAAGTCATCCAAGTCAACGGAATGAATACCTTTACCTACAACTTACCAAATAGGCATGTGGCCCTAGCGTTTAGTGGCCGATCGCGGACGCAGCCAGACCGTCTCCGATGGTTTCTCCGGACTGCGACCGGCCGGCCACTCGCAACTGGCTGGCTGTGACTCAAATGATTGACCGTGGATTAATTAACTTTTTGGGGGTCTTTTTGGGTCTTTTTGGGTCTTTTGGTTTTTTTTTTCCCTCGCGATTGACTTGATCACGCCATTTGGCACTATTCAATTGCTGGGTTAGCCTCATACTTCGGCGAGATGATTGACTGTCCTCACCAGTCGTTCTCCGTAGTTCAATACACACTCCTTACAGTTTCTTGCATAGAACAATTGGAACCGTTGAGACAATTGGGACAATCGTTGGCCTCACTGATGAGCATCAGATGCACGAGAATGAGAACGTGCATAATCAAAACCATGGGAGGTCACTCTCCGCAGTCGGTCCACGGACAATGATTTGCTAATGCGATTAGATCAAGGCAAAGATACCCAAAGTAAACCGAACCTTGAACCCAACCGGGTGTTGTTGTAGTGAATGTTACCAGCGGGGAATCGCTATCGGAGGGTTGTTGACAGTCCGGAGGGGTGGTAATCTTACCGGTTATTACCGGCCACATAACCCCGCCAAAGTTTCCGCCAGCGAGACCCAGTCAGAAACAAACCTTCGGCCTCCGATATTTTATTTTTTTCTCTTACAGTACATTCTTGTTGTAGCCTGAGGTTCTCCGTCTCCCCCTGCCCCTCCTCCTCCCAGCTTATATTTCCCCTCCATCCCCCCATCCTCCATCTTCTTCTCTTCTCTTTCTCTTCCATCTCTCCCCTGTGTTTTTCTCCCTCTCTACCTCTTCTTCTCATCTCTCTCTCAGCAAGAGGATTGATTCTTCTTGTCTGTTCTTCCTTGTGTTGTGTGCCTTGCAACTTATCTACTCTATCATCCCTTTTCTCACCGTACACATTCACACATATCCATCAAGATGGTTCAGTCTTCCGTCTTGGGTTTCCCCCGTATGGGAAAGCTTCGTGACCTCAAGAAGGCCACTGAGGCTTACTGGGGTGGAAAGATCTCCCGTGATGAGCTCCTGAGCGAGGGAAAGAGACTCCGTGCTGAGCACTGGAAGCTGCAGAAGCAGGCTGGTGTCGACATCATCCCCAGCAACGACTTCGCTTTCTACGATCAGGTCCTCGACCACATCCAGCTCTTCGGTGTATGTCTTGAGACCCCTCTGATCCATTCTCATGAATTTCACTAACATGCTTCTTCATAGGTCATCCCCGAGCGCTACAGCAAGTACGGTCTCGACCCCCTCGATGAGTACTTCGCCATGGGCCGTGGTCTTCAGAGACCCGCCAAGGATGGTCAGGCCGCTGTCGATGTTCCCGCCTTGGTATGATACACGGATAAGGATTTTGGATACGATCAAGGCTAATACTGTCTCCAGGAAATGGTCAAGTGGTTCGATTCGAACTACCACTACGTCAAGCCTACCCTTCAGGACAACCAGACCTTCAAGCTCGCTGCTGAGCCCAAGCCCGTTGCTCAGTTCCTCGAGGCCAAGGAGGCTGGCGTTGTCACTCGCCCTGTCATCCTCGGTCCCGTCTCTTTCCTGACCCTCGCCAAGGCCGACCGTGGCCAGACCATTGACCCCATCTCCAAGCTCGAGGAGCTCCTTCCCCTCTACGTCGAGCTCCTTGCTAAGCTCAAGGAGGCTGGTGCTGAGGATGTCCAGATTGATGAGCCCGTCCTCGTCTTTGACCTGCCTGCCAAGTCCAAGGCTGCTTTCAAGCCCGCCTACGAGAAGCTCGGTGCCCTTGGCGACAAGGCTCCCCGCCTCGTCCTTGCTACCTACTTCGGTGACATTGTTCACAACCTTGATGTTCTTCCTGCTCTCCACAGCCTCTACGGTATCCACATTGACCTGGTCCGCAACCCTGAGCAGCTCGACACTGTCGTTGGTGCTCTCGGCCCCAAGCAGGTTCTGTCTGCTGGTGTTGTTGACGGTCGTAACATCTGGAAGACCAACTTCAAGGCTGCCATCGAGAAGGTTGAGCTCGCCATCCAGAAGCTCGGCAAGGAGCGCGTCATCGTTGCCACCTCCAGCTCTCTCCTCCACGTTCCCCACACTCTCGAGAGCGAGAAGAACCTGGATGCTGAGGTCCGTGACTGGTTCAGCTTCGCTGTTGAGAAGCTGTCCGAGGTTGTTGTGATCGCCAAGGCTGTCACCGAGGGTCCCGCTGCTGTCCGTGAGCAGCTCGAGGCCAACGCCAAGTCCGTCCAGGCCCGTGCTTCTTCCAAGCGCACCAACGACCCTGAGGTCAAGGCCCGCCAGGCCGCCGTCACCGAGGAGATGCACAACCGCAAGTCTCCCTTCACCACTCGTATCGCCGAGCAGACCAAGTCCATCAAGCTTCCTCTCTTCCCCACCACTACCATCGGATCTTTCCCCCAGACCAAGGAGATCCGTGTTCAGCGTAACAAGTTCACCAAGGGTGAGATCACCGCTGAGCAGTACGAGAAGTTCATCGAGCAGGAGATCGAGGAGGTCGTCAAGATCCAGGAGGAGCTCGACCTGGACGTTCTCGTCCACGGTGAGCCCGAGCGTAACGACATGGTCCAGTACTTCGGTGAGCGCCTCACCGGTTACGTCTTCACCACCCACGCGTGGGTTCAGAGCTACGGATCCCGCTGCGTGCGTCCGCCCATCATTGTCGGTGACATCTCTCGTCCCGCTCCCATGACCGTCAAGGAGTCTAAGTACGCCGTCTCGATCTCCAAGAAGCCCATGAAGGGTATGCTCACGGGTCCCATCACCTGTCTGCGCTGGTCTTTCCCCCGTGACGACGTCCACCAGTCTATCCAGGCTCAGCAGCTGGCTCTTGCCCTCCGCGACGAGGTTGTTGACCTCGAGGCTGCCGGTGTCAAGGTCATCCAGGTCGATGAGCCCGCCCTCCGTGAGGGTCTTCCCCTCCGTGCTGGCACGGAGCGTGAGAAGTACCTCGAGTGGGCTGTCAAGGCTTTCCGCCTGTCCACTGCTGGTGTTACCGACGGTACTCAGATCCACTCTCACTTCTGTTACTCCGAGTTCCAGGACTTCTTCCACGCCATCGCTGCGCTGGATGCCGATGTTCTGAGCATTGAGAACAGCAAGTCTGATGCCAAGCTGCTCAAGGTCTTCATCGACGAGGCCTACCCTCGCCACATCGGTCCTGGTGTCTACGACATCCACTCTCCCCGTGTTCCCAGCGAGCAGGAGATCAAGGACCGCGTGGAGGAGATGCTCCAGTACCTCCGCCCTGAGCAGCTCTGGATCAACCCCGACTGTGGTCTGAAGACCCGTCAGTGGCCCGAGACCAAGGCTGCCCTGAGCAACATGGTCGCGGCCGCCAAGTACTTCCGCGAGAAGCACAGCAACTAAATTCTTTTTACATATTTAATCAGCCCATGATTGGGGCGACGATTTTCAACCCGTCGTCTCGGAGAGAACAATCTGTCGATTGTTGTCCGTCCATTTTCTTATGATGAGTTTACGAAGTGATACCAAAAGTTCAACATATGGGTTCAGGGTTTCATTAGATGGGGTCCCCGGAGTTTTCAACATGTCTTTATGACGATTTCAACATCGGCGTCTGCATTAAACATCAGCGCCAAGATCTTTATTTCTGCTCTTTAACAGCGGGAATGCTCGGTGATGTCTGGTGCTCGCCGGTGTCTTACACATAATATTTCAACAATGTGATACCACGCGAAGAGGTTGCTACTGTACCACCTCTTTGGCAATTTAGTTTTTTACTGTCTCTTTCCGAATCATCATCGTAGACTGCTGTAGCTGTAGCTGCTCAAACCCATGCTGATCTACATTGGATCTTCAGTACTTCCTGGTAGCCTGACTACAAATCCACATTCTAACATGGTAGTATAGCCCATCACTTCAACCTATGAAAACATCCAGCCTACATAGCGAAGCATACAGTAACACCCCACAGCCTACACAAGACAACCCAAACCTTCTAATCAAGTAGTGTTACACATCAACCACCAAACCCCTACCGATCTACCCTCCTGAAAGCAGTACCAAGTCCAACAATCTCATCCCCCCCCCACCAATACTATCTAAAAACAACCCTCCCCCCCCAACCCCCCAATGAATGCTAAGCTAATCTACATCCACGAACAAAACGGCACCACCGCCCCCCGCCCCGCGACCGCCTCCTCCCCAAACCGCTCCACATACCACCGCCGCCCCCACCGCGCATGCGGCAGCATGTTCGTCACCGCGTTCACCACAAACACCGCCGCCGGCATGGGGAACGGCCGCCCCAGGTGCGCGGCGAGCTGCGCGGCGGGCCGGAGCCACGGCGCGAGATGGAGCGTTCCGCTTGCGGTAGCGGCGGTAGCTGCTGCTGCTGCCGCTGCTGCGACAGAACTGGAACTGGCCGTGTTGGTTGACCCCGACCGTAACCCCAACTCCAACCCCAGCCCCAGGACCGACGCCGCCGAAGCCCGCACCGCCGTCGCGGCGAGCGCGAAGCCCGTCCATTCCAGCCATTCGCAGACGTAGTGCGGGTACAGGATTGTGGAGAAGAGGGGGGTGGTGGGTGGGGGGATTATGTAGATTTTTGAGGTTGAGGGAGCTGAGGAAGTTGAGGTTGAGGGGGTTGGGGGGTTGGCATTGGGTTTGGAGGCAGCAGCAGCAGCAGCAGCAGCCCGCCTGGCGCCCTCTTCGCGCCGCAGCCGGAAGAGCGTGCGTTCGGCGTAGATGTTGCCGGCCATGCCGGCGAGGAAGAGGGCGGTGCCTAGAGAGGGGAGTATCCCGGAGATAGCAGCAGCTGCTGCTGCTGGTGATGACGATGCAGCAGGCGCAGAGTGATAGGTGGGGTGGATGGGGATCTCGTAGCCGACCAGCCAGCCGGCCAGACAGGTGGAGTTGAACCAGTTGAAGAGCATGGCGGAGGCCAGGATGAACAGGTGGATGGGGGACATGCTGGGGGCGGCGAGGAAGGGGGAGATGATGGCGCGGTTGAGGTAGTGCACCACGAAAAGGGTGGCGAGGAGTTTGTTGGGCAGGGGGAGGGTGATAGGGCTAGTGGTGGTGGTGTCGGCCAGCTTGAGGGGCAGCTTCCACAACAGATACACCAGGTTCAGCGGGCTGACGATCTCCATGGCGAACCAGGCCCAGCGGCCGGGCAGGTTGAAGATGGAGGTCTTCATGGAGGTCTTGCCGGCCGGGTGCCAGGCTGTCAGCCATTGGATGATGGTGAACTATACTGCGGTCGTTAGGGATGCTACTCAGAAAGATGGGTGGCAGACTGACCAGCGGGAAGTATTGGAAGATGTTCAGCAAGGTGAGGTAGACATCTGGGGTGGGGAGGAGAATGTCCGTCAGAGGAGGGAGAGGGTCCCAGCAGGAGGAAATGATGGCCCCCATGATGGGCTGGCTGGGTGTACTGGTGAAGTCGATATACGGTACTGTACTTGTACTTCCCAGCAGTTATGTCATTGGAAGTTCAAATGAACTCAAGTGATCCTTCGATCAGTTGAGTGACTAAGATCTTACTAAGGGATCTGCAATCGCACTCAACTACTAAGTACGTCGGACTGAACACCCACTGATAAACCACCGTCCATTGCGCCTACCATCCATGCTTAGATTCCAAAACCATAACACATCATTGGGTTCAAACACCCGGCAATGCAGACAATGGTGCACTGATCGGGTCGCGATGTACTGTAGAATCCGCCCCGACTCGGCTATTCTATGATGATAATCCAACGCAAGAGAAAACGCCAACCCTTCTCAGTAAAAAAAAAAAAAAAAACAAAGAATACGATGCCCTCGTTCCATCTCATGGTCAGAAGCGCTAATTGAATAAGCCCCGAGACGGCGGAGATGCCTTCGGCACAAAAGCCGCTGCTACTCGCAATCAACCAGTAGTCGTGTCCATCGGATCGGACACCTTAGCTTGCCTGCGCGCCGCCATCCGTTCGGCCTTGAAGGCTTCGATCTTGGCCTTGAGTTCCGTATCTAGAATGGAGAGTCAGCCTTGAACCCTCAGGCCAGCGTCAACGACAAAGATACTCACCGGGTGTGACATCCTCCATTTTCAAAGGAGCTCGGTTGAAGGGGTCGTGGGGATCACTGAGAAGGTGAGAGCGAATGGTAGAGCGGTCAATAGACACCCTGGACCCGGGCAAGATCACTGGGTCTTCCATCAGAGTGTACATAAGAGGATCTAGAAAGCTGCGTTAGCACCATCGAAGTAGAAGCCAGAAGTGTAAACCTACCCAGGAAGTCATCAGGAACCTCGCCGAGGTCCTCCTCCGCCTGCTCGTCTTCTTCTTTAGCCGCCTTGACCTTGTGCTGGAACTGCTCCCACCGCTTGAGCTCCTCGGGCGACTTCAGAGACCATTTCCGCAGAATCTCGGCAGCCTTCTCGAAATTGGCAGGCTTGTAAGACCGTCCGTCACGTGCCACGGCCACAATGAAGCTCTCCTTGCCCGTCAGGTTCAGATAGACATCGACGATCTCGCTCAGCAAGGCCCGAGGGTTGAACCCGTACTCCTGCAGGTTATCCACCCGCAGAGTGGCACTTTTGGGTCCAACCATGGCGTCCAGGTTGTAGTCGAGCATATCAGCCAATCTCTGCACGATTTCAGGCATCGTGAAAGAATCGGCCAGTGCATCGGTGAACAACTTGAGCATGGAAACCGTCTCATTCGTCAACTGCATATATGACTTGGCATTGCGCTGCGCGGCCGTCAGCTGCTCCTCCTTTTCTTGGCGTACGGTGGGCTCCATCGCTGCGGCATTACGCAGTTCCGTTTGTGTCTTGTGAATCGTGATGAAGGCCCCGAAAGACTCATCGAGCACATAAGTCACGTCATTGAGCAGAAGATTGACGAAGCGCACGAAGAAATCCAGGTTCTGCTTGGACTGGTTGTAAAGCTTGTTGCGGTAATGGGTGTTGGGCCAGATGCATTGAATGATCTGGAAAATCTCGTAACGGATATTAAACTTATCGAAAAACTGGGTATGTGTACCGGTGTGCTCAGCCTCGATATAGAACTTCATTAGGGCGTGCAGCAGGTGCTGGTTGGCAAAAGGCATGGAGTTGAGCAAGTCCACGAGGACGCCCCGGCCGCCTCCAGGGCGAGGCCAGGTTCCTCGGAACAGGATGGAGACAAGACCCGCTTTGAGATAGGGATTCTTGATGTAGCTCGAGCTCTCTAGGAAGGTAATGCAAAGCATAACCAGCTCGTCTCCTTGGGTGGCAGTAATGATCTGAGGCATAGCCCACATGATGAACTTGAAGTTGCTGACAATATCATCGATGAAGTACTCGGGCAGGCACTGGAACACCTCCGGTTGCTGCTCAGGCAAGGGAAGCTTGAGTGGTTCCTTGGGAAAGTTGGTGCCTGATACCACCCGCAGTACCCAGACCACCACATATCGCATGAAGAGCATAGACCGTGCCTGCCATTGATCGTCAAACAAGACGCCCTGCAAGCTGTATTTCAGGGATAGACCCAGGTCCAGCTTGTCCTTGTATTTCTTGAGGGCCTGCTCGAATACTCTGAGCTGCACGGGGTTGTTCAACCACCGATGCCGCTCCAGCTCGAACTTGTTGATGGTGGACTCCATGTGCCGCAGGTCTTTCTCGAGCTGCTCGAGCTTGGAAGTCAGAGACTCACTGCCGTAATGATGGGCGGCCACTGTCAGAAAGAAAATCTCCGTGATAAAATTGGACGTTCCCTCTGCGGACTTGGCATAGAAAGCGTCCGAGGCATGCTGATCAGCATTGACCTTGGTTTCGTCCTTCATATCTACCCGTGGCTTGCGGTGTAGATAGTTTGCATCGACCCTGTCGATCTGCAAAGAAAAATTAAGTCAGACCCGCAAAGCACATAGCACTTGACTGGCTCTCATACCTTGGTGAAGCTTGCATCCATGAACGGCTCACAGAGCTGGTCCAGGCAAGTCGTAATGTTGAACATGAACCCATCGGACGATACAGTAGTAGGATCCACTTGCATCGCCCGTCGCTTGTGGTTGATGTTCAGGGAGGCTGCGAACCAGTCCAGCACCCGATCCCTGGCATCCTTCGAGGCCCGGATCATGTGGTTAATCACATCAAGGAGATCCGAGCTAATCATATGCTGCATCATGCGGATAGACCGCTGTGCGTTCAGGATGTATGATTGATCCCTAGTCTTGGGGCTTGAGAAGTATGTCATGGTCACACTGCTCTGAAGCGGGGACAGACTGAACCATGGGCCAAGAAGCGTCTTCTTTTCGAACTGAGCCGGATCCCGGGACTCGTTGAAGATGGACGACTCGGTAATGGCAGCCGCGATGGCCGCATTGTGGACAAGGTTCCGCAAAGCCTGCAAACAGGGTGATGAGACGCGCCCATGGTGAAGAGAAGAGATCAACATACTGTGAGGTAGGGCTTGTAATCATCGTTGATGGTCAGGCCCGCAAGCTCCTGGCTCATTTCCTCCACAGCAGCAATGAAGGCCGGCTTGATGCTTTCATCCTCATTGAACCTGCCCACAGCCTCGCCGATGAACTCGAAATCCACACCTTTGTCATCCTCTGGGTCCAGGAGGAGGTAGGGTTTGAGGGCCGACTTTTCAGACGACTCGAGCCTTGAGGGGGGGAGAATATGTCAGCTGCTAATCGTAGGGGGATGGCGTAGCCAACGAGCGAGTTAAACCTACCCGAACATTTCCGGCATGGTGATAGCAAAGATGCAGTAGCTCATGCACATGCGACGGGCTTCACAGATGAGGCTGTATTTCGGGTCATCGTCGCGAGGCCGACGGAACCCTTTGTGCAAGCGGGATATCCGCCTCCAGCATGGAAGTAGGTAATCCAACGGCTTCTGCTGGGGAGCATTCGAAGCGGCCTCCAGAAGGGCCTGGTCCAGCACCGACAGCTCGATGCGGACCTCGCGGCCTTGCTCCTCCAGTTCACCCCGCAGTCCGGGCAGGTAGGTTAACCGCTGCCCGTGAATATCCTTCTGACGAGCCTCGTTCAAGGTCAGTTTGAAGACCGCGCTGAGGGTCCGATCGGCAAAGGCCTCGATACTTTCGTCAGCCCGCGGTGGAGGGGGAGTGCCGGAGACTGGGGTAACGGTTTGCGACCGGTCTGGCACTGCGCTGGCGGCGGTGGGGGGTGCAATCTTGATCCGCTTCCATTCTGACTGCACGGTCTGGGGTTGCGGGGATGAGGCCCGTGAGGGAGCGGCGCTGCTCAGATTAGATCGTGGTTGTGACTGGGGTCTCTCTGGAAAGAATCGGGATGCAGGCGAGGACTGAGAGGGCGATGCGGGCTGGCTCGACGCAGCGCCGTCGACGGGCGACGAGGGAGTGGGATTTCCTAGCTTTGCCAAGCGCTTGCTGCGGATCTGTAGATAACAAGGGTCAGAGGAAACTTAGATCTGAGATTGGGCCTTTGATGATTTGAAAAAAAAAAAAAAAACAAAAAAGGGGATAAACGAACCTTGTCCGCTTCAGACTGGCTATCGGACATCTCGACTGATGCTGATCGGGGCAGCCCGCAGCAGAAAACCTTCCTCGGTCAGCGGGTCACGGTTTTCTGCAAGGTGCTTGGCTGAATTTGATCGAATGAAGGAAGTGGTGAGAGCACGAGGGGAAAAGAAGAGAGAAAACCAGCAACCGAGATGTGACAAGTCCTCAGGAGGGGCTGACGATGGGGTAAACTGAGGACAAGGATGAAGGATGTGGATGTGGATGTCACTTCTGCATGCGCGGTCGTTGTCAAGTCGGACTTTCTGTCATTGTCGATTGATTGCTAGTGATTATTAACTAAGCTGGGTCGGGGTTGGATGGATTTAATCTTCCCTCCCCGCTCAGGGCACAACACACTTGCCCCAATCGGGTCCGGCACATCACCGCCATCATGATCTATTCTCCGTCATGAACCCATCCATTGATCGCATCAATACTGATTGTACATCTTGTGGTTGCTAGGCAGGGGATTAGAGAATCCACTCTTATCATAATCACTGCCAACAATAATCGTCAACACACTAATTCCCTAATTCGGCCCCACCGCAATAAAAGAAGTCATTGTTTGCCCATAGAACGCCATCACAACCGTGAGAACATATAGACATCTAAGCTGAAGATAAGAAAAAAACAGAAAAAAAAAACAGAAAGGCTTGATCGTGATAGAGCCCAATTGCATGGGACAATTGCATGGGATATTAGTAAACAATGGATGCATAGCCAACCGCGCCCAAGAACGAACAGGAACAAGTGTAGCAGCCACAAGAGCCAGGATATCAGTATCTTCCCTTCAGCGAATCAAGTCGCTTGCAGCTCTTCAGCTCCATCGACCGTGCCTCCTTGATCTTCTCTACGTCCGGGAAAAACCACCCTTGAGCGTCCTGGATCATGCGATCCCGCGTGTGGATCTCGCTATCACATTCATACCGCAGTTTCGTCACGTAGTCCACTTCCACCCGTTGGTCCAGCTGGCGGAACTTGCGGGCGCTATAGTCATCTACATCTCTCGGATTGACGAAGTAATCGATATTCAACTTAGGCGTCGTGCGATGCAGCGTGTGAGGAGAGACCGCGGCGTCAAACCTGTACGAGGGGCCGGACGGAGTAGGGGTACCGGAGAATCGAGAAGAAATCCAAGGAAGGACGAAGAGAAGGATGAGAGGGAGGAGCTGCTGGAAGGTCGACCAGAGGGATGGAGCCGGCTCGGACTGGCCATTGGCTTCGCGGGGTCTTCTCCGAGGCCGCTGGCCTCCAAACTGATGTACCCGAAACCCGGGGCCACCGCCCATGTTGAAGACAAACTGAGGACCGCCTGCAGATCACGAGTTAGCCGTCGCTTACATCCAGACAATCTCGCTTGAACGAGTGAGTCGTACCGAAACCCCCTCCCATGGGGCCAAAGCCACCGCTGAAGAACCGCTGGAAGAGTTCCTCGGGGGAGATCTCCTCCTCGAACATCGGACCACCACCGCCGCCTGACCGGGGGAAACCACCGCCGAATCCACTGAAGGGCGAGGCCCCCGAAGGTCCAGCGCTGGGGGTAAACCTGCTGTCCGGATCCCCTCCGAATTTGTCGTACTTGGCTTTCTTCTCCGCATCGGACAGGACCTGGAAAGCACGAGATACCACTATACCCGTAGTTAGTTTACGGTGACGTTACCCCCACAAGGAGACACAACCAACTGACATTTGAAAGCCTCATCCGCTCCTTCATATCCATTCTTATCGGGATGCGTCAATAGACTCAATTTGCGATACGCCTTCTTAATCTCGCCATCGGTGGCGGTCTTTTCCACCGCCAGGATCTCGTAGAACGCTGTGGTCGAGCATTTCCGAATCCGCAGGACGGCCGCCTTCTGCTCGGGTGTGTATTTGCGGTCCTGGTTGCCCTGGTTGTGTTCGCGGGATTTCGCAGCACCCCCGTTGTCGACCCCAGATGCGGTGGCGGATGGCATCGCAGCAGGTTTTGAACGGCAATCACCTCCAGAAAAATCCGATTCTCAATCAGTGGCAGCAATGCGCTGCTCTCGTTTTATGTTCTGTTTGTTCCTTGGGCGCAGTGAGGGTACGTCGAGGCGTGGATCTTCGGAAGAGGGAGAGTGGTGGGCCAGCCGGAGCGGACGACCGAAAAAAAAGACAATAGAGGGGGGCGTTTGTTGTTAATCGAATAAGGGCTGCAGATACAGCTTGGGCACAAGGGCAAGAAAGATAGCCAGCTGGTTCAGTTGCGGCGTGCCGGTTGAAGTCTAAGATAAAAACAACCGTGACTGATAAACGTGGTGAGTTCTGGAGGTTCAAATGTTGACGCTAAGCCCCGGGTAAGCGTTGACAGTGGCTTGTTAGTCAGGAAAGGTTGTCTTGTGCTCGTTGCCGCGGATCGTCATCCCTCCTCACATCTGCTGCCACCACCTCCGCATTCACAGTACTTGTTACCGGTACGTTCAGCGCATCACTGTTGCTCTCCATACTTGTGGCTTTTCTCCTTCTGTGGCTAACGATTGTTCAAGATAGGCTTCACCACTCATTCTATCACAGATTAAGCACCACCCACACAATCATGGCTGGTTCGGACTCCGCAGTAGAACAGACGGAGAAGTCTCTGGTCCAGACAGCTCGAGCATGGGGCGGTAAGTACTGATCAGAGCAATCTGGGCTGTCTTCGCACGTCTAGGAATGTCTCTCTTATTGAGGCTTGCAAACTGACGCTCTCTTACTATTTATCATGCAGAGAACGCCTTTCCGCCTACTCTACTGGCCTCTCTCATCGCTGCACAGCACATGCGCCCATTCCAACCACTGCCCATGCTCTTCCCTCCTCTCCTTCTCTTCTCGAGCTACGCCAACCTCCAAGGATTCAAAACCGACACGGCGGGTATCAGCGCCGCCTGGTCTGGGCTTTACCTCCTGCTTGCGGGGCGGCGCAAGCAGCCGTTCATGAAAAAATGGGGCGCCCGGGGCATTGTGCGCGGCGTGACCATGGGTCTCTGCTTGGTCAACCTGGTGAGTGGGGGACTTGCCTACACCCTGGGCAAGCGGGAAGAAGACGAAGAATAGACGGGATGGGTATAATTGTATAGATCGGACCCATTGCGCAGGGCCTGAAGATCCATCGAAGATTTATGTATGTACGATAATGCCCGCCAAACACATTGACGGGGGCGTCGCTTTGGGCATGGTGTTATGGTCGTCGTTGAGATAAAAGCAAAATTGGTTTCTGGCACGCAGAATGTTGAAAATGCGCTGTCTATGTGTATACGTAGTATTGCAAATTTCTACAGTGGTTGCGACTGGCGGATCGCAATCGCGAGGCAGCGGGTACGCGCTGCACCGGCCGATCAGGCCGCTGTCGATTAGTCCGCATAAAGTCGTTCCGACAGAATCATCTCCTGTATACTCGACGGGACCAGCCAGTCCAGATCCTGGGGGCTTGCGGCGACTGCCTCTCGGGCCTTGGTTGAGCTCACCGATGGTGCCCCCGGTTTCCGTCCCTCCACCAGCTGGATTCGCTGGGCCCATTCCCGCTTACCGCCTATGTCATCTTTCCTTCCCTCCGCCAAGTCCCGCAGAAAGGCCTCTTGCTCGTCCCGACTGCCCCAACTGCTATCGGGGCGCAAGGTCACCCGTAACCGATGCTGGGACAGGAAGGGCTCCAGCGACTGCAGGGTGTGTTCGGGGGGATAGTACTTGGGATCGAAGATGCGAATCAAGGTATCGTAGCCCGTAAGATGGACTTGTTCCAGCGAGTGGGGGTATACCCCCGCCCGCTCTATCTCTGCCGCCTTATCCACAAAGTATGGCTTCTTTGTGACGGCAATATCTATTAATGGAAGGGTCTGGCGAGTGCCTGGAGGACTTGCAGATGGCAAATGTGAAAGAAGGTCGCGAGCGAACAAGTCCATCATGGTTAGACGGTCCTCGAAAGAAGCGGGCTTAGATGGTTTGTCCGCATTCTGGGTCGCCAATAGCAAGAGGAGCCGCGGAGCGCCACTGGTGTCCTCTAAAAGAGCCGAACAGGCAATGCGACGGTGTGCGAGCGTCGGTGGATTGAAAGAGGAGTCAAGCACGTACAAGACGTCGGGACTTGAAGCAGGGTCATGGTCGTCGGGTGAGACGGAGGCCAGAACTTCAAAGTTCCGATCTGATGTTTGGAACTGTTTCAAGCGGGAAGCATAATGTGCCTGCAGGGACTGGAAGGAGGGTCTTTCCATAGTCGATCCGTTAGACAATGTTTGGAACCAATGACTATTCTTGGAGATATTCTTTCATGCACGGAGAGGAACAACAACAATGATGAGGGGCAGGCAGAACGCAGGTAAGTTCACAAAAGCTCGAAACATTCCAGCTGCCGTGGCAGAGTGTGTCAGAGCCGCAACCTTGAACCCGGACCGAAAGCCACGGCAAAAAGGCCGACCGCCCAGAGTGGGACAGACGGGAAGAATTGCCCGAAATCCATGGAAGGAAAAGAAGCGGATCGACCATCAACCATCGGACCCTTTCTTTCTCTTGTTGGTCTTTCCGACGGGTGGCTGCAGAGCAAGACCGTACAGGTACCCAAGTACTACGAACGGAGAACAACACAGCATCCTCCATTACTCATCGGGAGAGAGATTGTCCAACCCACTCAACACGGCTGAGTGGCGGCAAGCCCGATATTAAATACAGGTCCTAGGATTCTTCCTCTCTCACCAGGGCCGATGGATGACGGCGGATGGCCAGTGAGCCGGGCTGGACGGTCACCGTGTTCCGTCTAGATTAATGCGCGGGCTGATCCCAATCACAGTCATCTCGATGTGCCGGTGAGCAATAATGAAGCCAGAATGCTTTCTCTTCGAAAGGCTAGAATTCGGGGCTTCGAATTTTCTTCCTAGCGGCCTTTTGTCTTTGGCGAGCGTAGCCGCGATGGCGATCATCCCTTAGGCAGTGTTTCTCGGATCAACCACCAAACCTTCAGGCAACCGAGTATATCTTAGCTCCTCTGGTTTGAAACATCCGCGGCAGTCGATGACCCTGGATTTGTAGTGCACACCCGGGGAGAGGGGTCCAGAGATATCTGCTTGACCACTTCATGTCACAGTGATCCAGCAGCCATCAAATTGATGTGGACGAGGGCGGTGATTGCTCATATTTAATCTAAGATGAGTGCAATCTGTGGGATGGTGTCTAGACTCTAGACTCCTGGTCAAAGTGATTGGGCTCCACTTCTCTTATGATCATCCTCGAATGATCTCTTCTGCTGGTGAAAACCTCCGGATCACCACTGTCATTGATGCCAACGCCTCTGGCAGGCAGCCACCGAGTCATTGTCCCACATTGTTGCTGTTGTCATTGTTCTCTGTGAGAGATTGCCTCTCCTGTCCACGGTGGCCGTGTTTCGCTTAGGCCTACTGTACCGGTCAATGCTCTCCGAATGGAAATCTCAATCGCTTGGGGAAAGTTTTCTCCTGCTAGTCGGGCGACCCAGCGGGCCCGGTTGGCGCCGAGCTTGACCATTTCGCGATGGCCGCCACCACGTAGCGAATGGCCCACGCTTGGACCAAGTCCTGTACTGTACAATGACTCGGAGAGATGCTGGACTCCGTAGATACGGTGTTTAATCCCCCTATTCCCCCCCCCCCCCCTAGGAAAGGACTCTCGAAGTGTATCTCATCGTGCTCTTGATCCCCCGCTTTTCTCCCAATGCCTCGTCACTGCTACGCAGACTGCGTGGACCCATACGTGCGATGGAGCTTGGCAGAATGGGAGGTAGCTGATCGATAGTCAGACTTGACTAGTGAGCCAGTGACAAGGGACAGGATAGAAATTGGAGCTCATTTCCGGACGCTGGCAATTTAGAGTTGAGCATTGATTGAGCGGTTGACCGTGATTGATTCATTCATTCATTCATGGATGGATGCTCATCGCTCATCAGACGGATGTGTGACGTGCTGGTGCACCGTACTCTGTCCCCTCGTACCTTTCTGGCCCCTCCGCTCGATGAGGGACCCCATTGCTGCAGGCTTCCTTCCTGGCTATTGCTTGTTTCGATTGTGCCTGGAGAGTACATGCTGGATAGGGAGGACTCCCACCACCACCAAAAAGAAAAAGAAAAACAGCGCACCCCGTGCGGTCGATTGGTCGGGGAAAACGGCCCACCCGAGATTAAAGCCAGGGGGCGAGCAGCCAGTGACCGTCGCGCATTCACGGGATGAAACGGGGGCCCTCATGGCCCATCATCTCTGCAGCTGCACCAAACCGCCAATCCACGGATGGTGCCTGCGCCAGAGACCCACTCAAATGGAGTCCCAGGAAATTAATCATTTCATCCATATCATTTCCATCCTGTTCGGCCTGCGATGAGACAGGCTATGCACTTTTCAGAGTAGTGCACGAGGCAGAGGATCGGCTGATGCAACCGTACGTTACAGATCATTCACCGATAGTCCACCCACTTTGCATGTGGTCCGTACGGTGCCTGGTAACTCAGGTGTATCGTGTGAACTCTCCGGTGTTAAATCAAATAATCAAATGAAGACTAACTTCTCGCCGGTGTCTCCTTTCCCCCCCCCCTCTTCTCTTTCTCAGTCTAGTCTCTCTTTCTTCAACGGTCTCCATTCTCTTCTTTTTAACGACTCTCTTTTCCTCAAAACCTCGGATTGATTCCGTCAGACTGCTACATTCTCTCTCAACTGTTCTCTGTGCTAGAGACGTTGCTTCGTTCTTTCGAACCCAGTCATTCTTTATCCCAAGTTGTTGCGAATCGATTTCGCCGCTCACATTCGTTGACCAACACCCCCCCCCGCAGTCTCTACCTACCTTACAATCCAACACCACCCATCTTACACAAACCCCCCAAATCATCGACATGCAGCTCACTACCAAGGTCTCTGTCGCCCTTCTGGGTGCGCTCGCCGCCGTTGGCGAGGCCAACATCCACCACAACCTGCACTTCCACGGCCGCGATGCCGCCTCCAGCTCGGTTGCGGTCCCCCCCGTCACTCTCCCCACCACGACTGTCCAGCCTCCCCAGCCCGTTGTTGTGACCAGCTCCGCGTCCACCGCCGTTGCTGCCACTACTAGCCTGGCTGTCGCTCCGCAGGGCACCACCACTGCTGCTCCCGTCCCCGCTGCGCCCTCGTCCGAGGCTGTTGCTCCCGCCGGTCCCTCGTCCGTGGCTGTGGTTGTGCCTTCGGCTGCTTCCTCTGTCCCGGTTGTGCCTGTTGGCCCCTCCTCCGTGCCTGTGGTCCCTGTTGGCCCCTCCTCGGTTGTGCCCGGTGCTCACTCCTCGGCCCCCGTGCCTCCGTTCCCCTACTCTTCGGCCATCACCTCCGCCCCCGGCCCTCTCGGCACCGGCGTGACCCAGTCTGCTGGAGCTACCAGCTCTGCTGCTGGCTCCGGCTCTGGCTCTGGCGCTGCCTCGGGTGCTGAGTCCGTCTCCACCGAGTACGAGACCCAGACCTCCACCAAGGATGTCACTCTCACCTACACTCTGGGTGCCGGTGCCTCCAAGACCGTGGTGACCACCACTGTCCACCGCACCGTGACTGACATCCAGACCGTCTATGTGGTACGTTTTGTTATGGTAGCAACTGCATATGAACCCTACTGACACATTGATATAGACCCCTGGAAGCCACAGCTCCAGCACTGCCAGCGCCGGTGCTCAGGACACTACCCTCACCTCGACCTCGACCGCCTTCGCCACCTACACGCTTCTGGCTGTCCCCTCGTCCACTGGTGCCGCTGGCTCTGCCGCCACCTCTGGTAGCTCCTCCGGCTCTGCCAGCTCCGGCTCCAGCGACAGCTGCGCTCCCGTCACTGTCACTGTCCACGACACCGTCACTGTGGTAAGTTGGGCTGGATGAAAGTTGACGATGTGGTTGCTAATCATACTTGCAGACTGTCGCCCCTACCACTGCCGCTGCTATCACCGCCACCCCCGACACCAACGTCGAGGTTGCCCAGCCCACCACCAGCGCTGAGGACACCACCACCAGCGCCTCCACCACTGAGGCCGCTGCCACCAGCACTGCCACCGTCATCCCTACCCCTCGCCCTCCCTTCGGCCACAGCAACGGCACCTTCCCCTACCCTAGCGGTGCTGCTCGTCCCACTGGCTTCCAGACCAGCAGCCGCGCGGCTTTCCCCTCGCACTTCCGCCGCGTCTACTAAGGGCATCAGCCCGGCGCCTTCGTCTGTACTGAGAATTGATCCGGTGGCGTAAAGCTTGCGCTGGCCCTGTACCTATGAGAGGATTTCGATATTTATGTTTCTGGTACAAACTTGACAATTTCTTTTTCTTCTGCTTCAATCCACCTAGTCTATCTTCCATTCTCGTCTACCCGGCTAGGTACTCTACCCAGGTTGTTCCATTCTTGTGGGATCCGTCCCGGTCCTACCCGTTATCCAACGAAGCTGTTTCTTCATTTAGTTTCTCTGTGAGAACCTCTCATGGGACATGGATCTTTGTACGGTGACGGGCCAGACCCGGCGCGGGGGGGTTCCTAGCTGGAGCGGACGAGAGTGTCAGGCATCTGTTCGCTCTCGGGACATGTGTATCTATGTGAAGAATAGATCTAAGTGGGGTTTACGACCATCCGATGACGATCTTGCTTATGACAGCGGATACTGATTAGACAGCGAATTGATTTTTTCTGATTATGTGTGTAATAGCACTGTAGAATAAGTATGGAGCAACACGGGGCTATAAAAGATTATAGACATACTATACATTTATTGTCCATGTATACCGAACTGTAACCCGCTAGATCTTCTCCAGCAGGGAAGGATCCGCCATGAGACGGTGGCGCATCTGCTGCCACTCCAGCCAAGTGACCCCCTGCACCAGACAATCCGCCAGATCGTCCAGCTTGCCGATATCCGGCAGGTTGGCGCCGGCTTTTCTGCGGGATTGCCATCTGGTGCGATATGCCTCCACCCACTGGCGTAATTCCTGGTCGTCCGCCACGGCCAGAGTTTTGGGACGGGCAGAGAAGGTGGTGGTGGTGGTGGCGTTCTGCAGCCAGTGCCCGACTAGATCCATTTTCATCTTCTTGACCTCGCGCGTGCTCTTCCTTTTCTTTCTGGCTGTACGCGCTGCAGTTCCCTCAGCGTTGGGGTCTGCTTGAGCGTCTGCTTGCGTGTGAGTCTGCTGCACCTTCTTTTTGCCTTTGTTACGTTCCTCGGTGGCTTCCCCGGTCCCCTCCACCTTTGCAGGACCATCCCCTCCGCCCCCCGCTCCCTGTTCATCCGAAACCCTCCCCGACCAAAACCGACTCACTCTTCCCGGCTCCACCCCACAAACCTGTGGCACCGGCACCGACATCGACCCCGAGCTCCTCTCCCGCCGCAACGCCTCCAAAACCGCATACAACATCCCCTCAAACACGCCCACGCGGATCGACCACTCCTGGACGACGGCCGCCCCGCTCGACCGGAACCGCTGGCGCTCGATCAGCACGTGCGTGGGCCGGTACCGGGCCAGCAGGGTCGTGAGCAGGGCGTACGCTGCCTCGGCGTAGCCGGCGGGGGAATAGCCCCCCTCTGGCCCTGTTGCTTCATCTGGATCTGAGGTTGGAGCTGGGTCTGAGGTTGAATCTGGGGGGATGGGGTGGGCTTGCTCTTGCTCTTGCTCTTGCTCGACGGCATCCTTGGGGGTAATGGCAGGGGTCTGAGTCTGCGTCTGCGTCTGCGTCAAGGGCAAGGCGATCGCCGGGTGCGATTGCGATTGCGATTGCAGTTCGGAGTTGAAGGCGAAGACAGAGAGCCGGCGCCATGCGGTCAGCGTGATGCGCGGTCTACTCCCGTCATCCTCATCCTCTTGAAGCTTGAGGGCTCCGGATGAGTGGAGCGGTGGTGATGACGGCGGCGGCGGCGGCGACGGCGGGGCGACGAGCAAATGCGCAAAGGCGAGGTTGCGGATGCCCATGTCGATGCTGAGGATGCTCATTCCCCCTCCCAGGCCCGGCGCGGGGCCCGGCGCACCGGCGGAGGGCGCGCGCTGGTACTCGCATTGCGGCAGTTCCGTCTCCAGGCGGCGGGTGAGCACGGGCTTGGGGCCGGTGGATTTGATGCCGGTGCGCTGGGCGATGCGCTGGAGACGGGTGGCTTGTAGGGTGCGCAGGCAGATTGAGAGAACTGTTGTTGATGTGGTGGTGGCGGATTGGAGGAGGGGGATGGTGGTGCGCATTGGAGATGATGTGACGGTTCCACCGGATAAGAAGATGGGATTCGAATTAGTCCATGGGCTTTTCCAGGTACGATGGTGATGGGGGTTGTGCTCGTGATTTGACTAGCTTGGCTGGGGTGATAGTGAGGGAGTTCTTCTGGTATGCTGGCTAGCTAGCTCATGGCTGGTTTGAAGGCACGCGGCAAGGGATGTTTTCTGGGTGTCCTGAGTCAGGATAAATTTATGTATCCGGTGGAGATTGGATTGCCATACTGGGAAATTCGATGTTGATTGCAACGGGTGAGCGGTGGGGCCGAGATCTGGGGTGGCTTAGTAAGAGAGATCCATCTTTCCACTCTACAGATGAAGCCAACTTGAAGCAGAGAGATCCGATTATGCATATTTTATCCTCGACAGCATCGCGACAACCATCCAAGCCATAAGTCAAGGACATTATTAAAAGGTGCTGTAGTAGGTGCTGTAGTAAGTGCCCGGAGGTGTTGAAGATGCCCCAATTGCAAGATGCAGATGCCAGTCAACTCAATCATATCTAAATTCCTTCTGGAATACCCTGGAACCAACACCCTGCCCTGCCTCTTGCCCCCCCCCCCCCCCCCCATTCGCCTCGCACTAGGCCAAAAACAAGATTATATATGCGCTGTCTCCTCCCTGTCAAACTCCAAAAACCCCCCAATGCCAATTCCCAAACAAACCGATGCAAAACACGCTGAAGAACTGCATGAAACGGATCCAACTCCACCCGTGTGTCACAGAAACATGCCACAAACAGAAACGAAACGTTTTACGAAAAAGTCCATCGGGCAAAAGCAGCCCGCGTGATCACAGAGTCGCGGAACGTGCCACGTCATAACCCTCGTTCGACGGGATCATCGCCACGTCAGTCGGGGACACGCTCTCGCGCACATACAGAATCGGCGCCCACACCCGCCAGTGTAGCACCCCCATATGCGCCAGCCGCATCGAGATGCGCTCGACGTCATAGTGCTGGGGATGGCCCAGCAGGGTGGGCGCCGTGTGCGGGAAGTTGCGCTGCGACTCGCAGATCGCCAGCGGCGACATGTTCAGGTACTTCTTCGCCGCCGCGAACGTCGCCGCCAGCAACTTCTCGCGCAGCGCCGCCTGGAAGTACTGGAACAGGCCCGACTCGTTCGACAGGTGCCACTCCAGCGCGCTTTCGATCTGCGTGATCACCTCGTCCGAGACCGTGCTGCCATCGCTGCAGCACGCGGCACACGCGAACCGAGCGATCTCCAGCCCGATGCACCGCACGTTCTGCACCCACTGCGCCGAGCCCCGCGGGCAGTCCTCGTTCTCCTCCATCAACGAGCCAATGCGTGACCGGAAGGTGGCGTACGTCTGTGCGGGGGCCGACAGGTATCGTTTCTGCGTGTGGACGTAGGACTCGAAGATGAACCAGCAGATGTCCAGGTTGATCAGGTTCTGAAGACAGGTCCGGAGCTGCCACAGGCGGTCCGAGTCGAACACGAAGGTCTCCGGAAAGGCGTCGGGGGTATGAAACTGGAGTAACAAGTCGGACACTCCCTGAAACAGCACCGAAATCGGCCAGAATGCGTCCGTCTGCGCGGGCTTATCCATCTGTCGCAATTCGCGCTCCCGGGTCTCCAGATACCAAAGTCGCGACGAGTCGACCCGGAAGTGGTCCCTCTCCATCTTGCCCCGGAAATACTCCTGCAGAAACGGAACAGTGTCCTCAATCAGCAGCACCCGAAAGGCGCGGATCTGGTGGTTCGCAACGTCCTAAGGCAAGCAAAAATCAGTTCCCATGTTTCTCTCGCGGCGGCGAAAACCACCCCCCGCGTGTGAACCAGCTCCTTACCAATTTCATGGCCTCCAGGATCGCGAACAACGTCTGAAGGCCGCCGACGATCTCCATCGGATTCTGCGACTGCGACCCGGACCGGATCTGCTCCACCATCCGATCCGCCCATTCATCCCGCATCGGCGCGCAATGCGTCTTGAGCAGCCCTGCCAGCCAGGCGGCCACCCGGACCATGTCCAGCACCCCCTTCTGGATCTGCTGCATGAGTAGCGGCACCTCGAGGTTCTGCACCACCCCCGGATGATCGCGTTCCGGCACCAGCGTCTTCAACACATCCTGCAAGGTGTCGAACATGGCCGGGAGTCGAGGCTCGAAGGCCTGTCGCTGGTCGGTCCGCGCATCCGCGGCCAGGCCGGCAGCTTCGGGCGACGAATAGAACGCGTAGATCGAAATCTCCACGGCCATGGCCTCCCAGTAGTCCGCCGCCTCTTTCCGCTTCCGCCTCCCTTTCTCCCCGTCGAGATCGGGCTTGAAATGCAGGTCCCGGTCGAAGTTCGCATCCATCCGGAGATTGATGTTGCTCATGATGCATGGGAGATCCAGCTCGCTCAGCGTGCTTTTCGTTACCGGGGGATAGCGCTTGGCGGTCAACAGCAGCCTCTGCTCCTCGGGACGGAGCCCAAACGCTGTCGGAATGTCAAGGGTTTTGGACGATGAAGATGATGGTCTGGCGGGCGCCAGTAGCGCTGTTGCCGGGGGAGACTGCAACGCATCTTCCCGGTAAGTAGCACTGCCCGGGTGCCGTTGTTGGCGCGCATCTGCGGGATCAGGACGCTCGTTCGCATCGCGATGGTCTAGCGAATCGTTCTTGGGGGACTCCTTCGTATGGCCGCTTCCTCCATAGGCTTCCAACGGACAGTCGACGCTTTCCTCCTGCTTGCCCGGCGCATCCCGGCGGGCCTCCTTCGTTTTTTGAAGGTCCATCTCCATCCGATCCCGCTAGTGCCCGAGCAAATAATGGTGAGGTGGGAAGGTTGAGAAAGGAGAGGGTGATGGCGGGAGGTTGGGGACTGAGGCGTGGCAGGAGAGTAGTAAACTGGTCCAAGTGTGAGATTTGACGAGATGTGGCTGCACCTAGATCGTGGGACAAACGGGCATTTCCTTGGTGATAGACGCAAGGCACCGTAGCCCTATACTAGACCACGACAACGACGATGTGGGGGGGGGGGGGGGGGGGGTGGGTTTGGGCTCTTTTTTTTTTTTTTTTTTTTTTTTTTTTTGTGATCCCTTTCCAGCAACCCTTCTGTCAGTCCTTGCCTGGGGTCGACAGGGTTTCAAGGCGAGGGAGGGGAAAATAGTGCGCACCTGATCTTAGTCAACGACGTCGATCGCTGGTGTCGATCATTAAACGGGAAGTTTGTTATGGTGGTGGTGGTGATAATTGTAATTGAAGATTGGTGGTAATTAGTGTGGTAGGTATGGACTGACGATATAGAATTGGGCCAGTTGTCGTTGTCGTGTAGCAAATAGTATGCCCCCTCTCTTTTTCTGCGTTTTTATATAGCGTATAGATCTCTCCTTGTGTTTGTTGTGACGTGACCAGCTTTTTGATCTTCAAGTCTTAGAAGACACCAATGTCACACCCAGCACAAGATGTGAAGTTGTATATGTTTGAAGCAGGAAGAAAGACGGCAAGATCAATCAAATGGCTACACGACAACCAAAAAGGGAATGCCGAAGGGGAGAAGCAAACAGATGCGCTTCAGTGCGGACAGGAAGAAAGGCGACAATAATACTATCGACCGGGCAAATCGGCGAGATCAGAGGAACAAAGAGACGAGACCGGGATATCCAATGTTTCTGATAACACACCCCAATGGCAGCAACAAAGCATGCGAAGACTCCGAAGAGTAACCCTGCACTACACAGGGGGAGGGGAGGGAAAAAAGGTCAGTGTCAACTAAGAGGGGGAGAGGGAGAAAAAGGAAGAACACGAGCCAAGGGAACTACTGTAATCCCAGAGGTGAAGGGGGAAAGAAAAAAAACACCAACGAGAAAAGGAACGGTCAGTGATCAATGAAAGACAAGATCAGTCCTGCACTACCGCATTGTACAGTAGGAGACTAAACAGTATAAACTGACTGGTCAGAGCGAACGAGGGAGAGTGGGAAAAAAAATGAGAGGGAAGAGAGGCAACTGTGCCTTTTGCAGGGGCACTGGGAAAAGTGAGGCTGATCTAATCTAGACGCTTGCAGCAACTACGAACTTTCCGGTTTCTGTTTTCTGTTTTCTGTTTGGGCACGGCGAACCACCTGGAGACCAGCTGGGAACGGGCACGGAACTATAAGTATGGAGAAGTTTAGTTGGAATCAATCCCTAATCACATAGCGGATGACGTGGGATGCTTGACGAGAAGAAAGGCCGAAGTAGAAAAAGATGAAGACGACGACGACGATACAGTACTAACTAGTAAGTTAACGAGGATTGCCCTTCTTCAAGCCTGGCCCGATGGTTAGTTAAAGGTGGTGTGGGGAAGAAAGGATCAATAATCAATCATTCATTCATTCCTTAACCACCGCGCGAGGGTTGAGAAGTGAAAGACGAAAAGACCAAAGGCAGAGGCAGAGGCAAAGGCAAAAGGCAATGGGAAAGGGAAAGGAAAAGTCAACAATTCCCGCGGCGGATAATCCCTGACTCCACCCCAGCAGCAGCAGCAGCAGCAACATTCCTCACAACCAGGGCAGGGCACGGTATCGTGTGCGATCTCAGACCTCGGGCGTGTGCCGGTTTCAATGCTGCTACCCGGCACGGTGGAAAGGCCTGGGAGATCCCCAATGTCCAAATGTGATAGGGAGTTAGTCCGCTCCCCATAACTGGTTTAACTGGTTCTCCCATGCAGAACGCCACCAGTCAATTGAATTCTGTCTGGGTGGAATCGACCAATAAATTTGGGGAGGAACCAAAACAAATCGAAAGGCATCAGGAGGGGATAGTCAGTCTTCTACTCTGTACACCTAATAGAATCTCCGTTAAGACTTCGTTAGCAGGGCAATTCGGTGTATTCCCGCTGAATCATGGCAATGTGCAAAGCAAATGGATGCAGCCGGCCGTTGACTGTGTTCGGATGGATCTAAGACCGGATCCATCTAAATCCGAGCTCTTGTACTGTTTTTTTTTTTCCTTTTTGGGTTTCAGTATGGTTTCTTTTGTTGTGAATGATACATTGGGAGTTATGTGATGAACAGGAGACTGAGTCTCTGCACGGAGTAAGAAAAGGTCCCAAGCAGGGGATGGCCGGACATTCCATACGGAGAACTATAACTAACAACCGGCAAGTATGAATGAGTAAGGTTAGTACTCCGTAGTTAGAAGAACTCACGTCCCTTTAGTCTTTAGACTTCTTCCGCATGCAGGTTAAATGATTTCTGTCATCCATTCTCTATACATAATTTGGCCGACAAGATCTGAGTGGGATGAGTATCTGGAAGTTGTCGGTGGTTGTTTTTCTGTTCCCTATCCCAGGGCGCTCGAACGGCAGGCAGGCACCATGCAGCATGGGATCTCGATGGATCACGGAGCATCAGCACCCATTAGCATCATGCCATCAGCTTGCTTGCTTGGCCTCGTGTGCACTGATTGGAACCGTAGGTACGGAGAGTCATCCAAGTCTTTCAGTTTTCGGCAAGTCTGCATCTCTCCTCTGTCATGCAAACCTAGATGAGACCGGCCGATTGGTCCCAATTTCATAGTCGGGCGTCAAACCCATCGTTCTTCTACAAGTTATCGCATGGCGGATTGGCGATGGGGGGTCCGCTTTTTTGCCCACCGACACTTTCGGGACTGCAGTCGAGTCTGGGTCGGTCACCGCCGGCGGGAACTCTTATTGCGCTACTCTGTACTCCCGTACAGAAGCCCCTTTTCATCCGCAGGCGCCTGCGACCGTGTTTAATTTCCTCCCGTTCTTCCTCCCTTGGGTTGGGGTGGGACATGGGGACAGCCCCGATCTATCCACCCTAGCAGATTGATATGTAGATTGACGTCGATGTTCAGTGATAACCCAACAGTCCCGGTCGGGGTGGATCACACGCGTGGTAGCATCGGTAAGTCAACCCGAGTCAGCAATGGCTTGTATAGTAGTACCGTAGTTCTTCCCCGGTTTATGTTCATGTTTCCCGGCAGGAATTTTGAAGTTCAAAGGTTCTGTCGGATGGCCCCTGCAAGTCGGATTTACTACTCCGTATCGAGAATATATTCAACACTTGCTAAGAAGTGGGATGGACCATTTGAATCAGCAGCACTTCGGAGTTGGAGTAAGTTACTGTACTGTACGTAGTACTTGACAATCGCTAGGTGGTAGTAAGTGATGTTGCCAACACGAACGAATGATAGACGGCAGACGGCAGACGGCAGACGGCGAAAACGTCATGCGAATAATGTGTCTGGACCATTCGAGCCTTTGCGCTGCGAATAAAGGGGCGAGAAAATCCGGTGGTTGATGCTGGCTTAGCGCCTCACTTTTGTTGCGCACTGGTCACAACACTTGGATACTCCACGCGTGGCCGCCTCATTATCCTGGGTCAGGACGGCGAGGTGGCAATTGGGGAAGGGGAGAGAAGCCAAGCCCAAGCCCGTTTGCAAGCAAGCCATAAGAGAAGCGGTGTTAGGATGGACCCGGTTTCTGCTCCCAAGGCTGCAAGGTAGAGTTGAGAGTCGAGACGTTGCGCAAGTCTGGAGCGATTATTGGCTCCGCGTTGCGCTCTCGCAGGCGGGGCGGGGGAGTACCGAGTCCCTACGGAGTACTAGAACTTCCTCCGGCGGCCTGTCCAGCCAGGGCGGACAGATAATGGAGTGATGATGAACCCTGAGTTGACATATATGTCTACTGCGACTTCTTAAAACTCCGCTGCCTATTGCCTGTCTGATTGATGCTTTCACCGACCGAGCCAAGGTGATGAAGAGGAAAATATGCGGATGATGATGATGAAGAAGTTGGAGGCTACTCCGTACTCGTCTTGGAGCCCTGAGATGATGGACGATTTCCTCTTTGGGAAGCCAGGGCCGATCCCGTGACCGTATGCTTGGCCCTAAATCAGGTGATTCGATATACTCATCAACTCTTGAGCAACAGATACTTGGTAGTCTATTTATCAGAATAGTATTATTATACTGCTTTTATTCTGCTGAAGACAGCTGTATATGAAAAGAAAAAAAATCCAATTATTAAAGATAATATCTATAATAGTATTAAACTGTTGATAGTTTGTCTATATATTTTCTATATAATGATTATAATGTTAATAATTTAGATCTTTCTAGTACTTAAATCCTAGAATTTTGCCATATCTCTAGAATAGCAAGGATTAATCTTGAAATCAATAGACTGCTACTATTCTATACCTGATTGACTTACTTTTCCTTTGATAACTGTACTACATTTGAAAATAAGACTATACTTTATGGATTATTTATATAGAAATGGTGGGTGCAGGTGTCGGCTTGCTTACACTGCCAGCTTGCTTACCGATTATGTTATGGACTGTATGTGCATCCGTGCGTATTTATAAACTACAAACACCAGACTAGTATAATAAGCTACGATAGGCTCTCACCACCCTCCATCTTCAACCAAAACACCCGTTCAGCGGCCTTCCCTCGACCCCCCGGCGTCAATAACGCATGAACCTCACTCGGATGCACCCAGGCAAAGAGAACCATAACCAGCACCATGAGCAACGCATCAAAGATATAGAGGAATGCCTCATGTGATACCAAATACCCGTCATTCCCCTGCGCATACTCGATTAATCGGAACAGTGATCGGACAAAGATAAGCGCGCTCCCCCCGTACAGGGCGTACATGTGCCGCTCCCAGGGTGCTTGTAAGTGAAGGACACGACGTGATGGAGCATTCGACAGTCCGTGGTGGAATTTCATACTCGTGATAACAAAGAGCGAGAAGAAGATTAGTTGTACGACGAGACCGCCGATAATGATATGTTCGCCGGTTGTCAGGTTGCTGGGCGTTCCAGAGGCCATTATCCCGCCACCTGAATGAGAGTTTCATATACCTTAGTAGAGTAAAACTGTATTAGTGGGGGAGGTTGGGGGTTTACCTGCGCCTTGCATAAGGAACGAGACGATGTCGCCGAGCAGGAATGTCTTGGTTAGCCATGTTCGGCGAATAAGGCAGTATGCCTCTCCGTTCGTGAGGAGCACGATCCGGCCGAGCTCCATGTAGACCGCTGCGGCGAAGAGGGTGGGTGCAATGAGGAGGAGGAGGGTTTGCACAATATAAGGCTTTACGGTAAAATCGGGGGCCTCGGCTCCGGAGACGGCACGCTGAAAGGTCAGTTGTAGTGCAAGAGAAGGGCAGGTGGAAGTAGACCTACGCCAATATATCCGATCCATTCGACTGGGTTGATATGGATTAGTTATGAAGTGGCGACGGTTTTCAGGGTTGAAGACTCACAGTGTCCGCCGACGACAAACGGGATGACGAACCATGCTTTGGTTCGGACTACCTGAAACGTATGGATGCCTGCTGCGGCCAGGAAAAGAATAATGAAGATGACAGCTGCGCCAATTGAGGGGTCGTATCTGTATAGCTTAAACTCTGAATCCTCGGTAGCCATGTGGAGAAGTGAGATAGGAAATATATGCAGTAAAGGAGAGTGTAGAATTCTATCGAGTACCGTGAAGTGTGGCAGGCATGATGAAAGTATACTCGATGGTCGCGACAGTCACATGTACTTATAGCCGGCAATCCAGAAGAGATTCTAAAATGAATAGTAGCTGTGTTGTTTCAGGCGTAATCGTACTCGTAGCCGTTCTCGTACCCTTCCGAGATCCAAGTATACACGCACTTGGGCAGTACTACGGCAGACCCACCAGCCGCCGGCTATAAGAAGTCAGAGAGTCAACGCCGAAGATGATTGTTTTTTTTTGACTCCTCTACAGCAGATTCAAAATGGCTGAACAGGACCACGTTGATTTCAAGTTGTACAGATATACACCCAACGGCGTTGCGGCAGGGATATTCGTGGCCCTTTTTCTCCTCACGACAATTTACCATATCTATCAGTTGGGGCGCAGACGGGCATGGTACTTTATTGCCTTCGTGATTGGAGGAATATGTAAGCCAGGCTCTTTTGTTTTTCTCTCTATAGGCGTGAGAGACCGATGGACAGAGTACTGACAGTGAGCCTTTAGTCCAGATCATTGGCTATGTCTGCCGCATTCTCGCCCATAATCACAAAGAATCGGTTCCAATCTACAGCGTGCAGACCATCCTTATCCTGCTTGCACCGCCGCTCTACGCTGCCTCGATCTATATGGTCTTGGGCCGTCTAATTACCTTTCTACGTGCCGAAAAGCTTAGTCTGGTTCCTGTCCGGTGGATGACCAAAATCTTCGTCGTAGGAGATGTGGTTGGATTCGTCGCGCAGGCTGCAGGTTCGGACTCTTTTATCATCTCCCTTTGACTACCAAGATCTCTAACGGATCCCTGCTAGGCGGCGGCATCATGGCATCTGGCACGATAGAAGACTACAAACTCGGCGAACACGTTACCGTCGCTGGCCTGGCGGTTCAACTAGCGTTCTTCAGTGTCTTCATAGTAACCTGCGGAATATTTCACCGCCGCATCCGACAGACGCCCACACGGGAAGTGGCCGTTATCTCGGCCCGTCTCCGCGAACAGAAGAGACGGGGGTGGGAGACTGTCCTTATGGGGCTCTATACTGCGAGTCTGCTGATTCTTGTGCGATCGATCTTTCGGATTATTGAGTATGCGCAAGGCAATGATGGGTATCTAATCAGCCATGAGGTGTTTATGTATGTCTTCGACTCGGCACTGATGTTCTTGACCATGGTTGTCATGAACGTGTGCCATCCTTCGATGATTCTGGTTGGGCCCCAGAAGGGGAGAGATGCGGAGATGAGAGTGCTGGAGTCTGATGAGCAGAGTAGTTAAGTTGGTGCCATTGATATCATAGATATCAGTGGAGAAATTTGTCTGTTCATCTGAAACGTTAAGAAAGACACGGGAATATTGAACGTTGGGTAATTCAAACTCGACTGCTCCGCAGAGAGGACGAAAGCAATTGGCCAGACACCCTCACCCATCTGCGCTGGGGCTACAATCGATTGACCTCGTAGCTATAGATATTTGTACAGCCTTTAATATATGCTAGGTGGGCTTACCAGTACTTCATTGTGCCTCGTGTCGCTTAAGATAGGCAGTGAAAAAGAAAAAGATATAGAGGGATGCCTTAGCTCCCACAGGTCATCCGAGACCTTTAAAATGTGTAGACCTATGCAAATTCGAATATGCTGTCAAGGACCCCATCGCGAAACCACAGCTTGTCTTTCTCTTCTGCATGCACAATCATGTCCTTGCCCAGACCGACGCATCTTGTGACGAGCGGATCATCACGGATGCATGGCTCACGACAAGGCCATAGTACCAAGTGTATTCCGAATTCCAGGGCCACACGGAATGCCAGCTCATCGTTCAGAGGCCCATATCCGACCATAAACGGGGAGATCATTCTGGATGCCACCGTGACGAACTGGAAGTGAGCGAGGACATAAAGCTCAGCGAACATTTGGCCGAGGTCGATAGCTACTGAACCGAGCTGTGAAGTCTCCCAGTCAATGATACTGAGGGACAGCGTGCGACGTCCAGCTGGGAGTGATCCGTGTGAAACAAGAACACTATGTCGAACTTTTTAGCTGGCGGACGACGAAGAATTTTGTATCGCGCCTAGTTCACTCACTTTCGACAGCCAAAATCACCATGTATCAATTGGTTCTCAGTGCCCACAACCTCTGTATTCAGCCGCTGTTCCAACCGTCCAATAATATGGGTGCTGCTTCCAAATATGGCCGGATACCTTGCGATACTTTTCTTCAAGCTGCCAAAAGTTATGTTATACTTCATTTCCGCCATTTCACGATTGCCCTTGATCTTCCGACGCAGTGAAGCCTGATCTGGCATAGCACCCCACTTGTGGAACCTACTCATCCATCGTCCTAGCGATACTCCAACTTGGGACACCTCATACTTGTCAAGCTCGTGGGTGCTGAGATAGGCCTGAAGCTGCGATGATCTAGGGAGGTCTGACAGAATCGCGGTGTGGGATGCGGCATAATACTCATATAGAATAGGAGAGGTCGTAATAACGTCCGGAACCTCGGCCGGAGGAAGGACCTTCATAGCTTTCAGAACGAGAGCCTCATAGTGCTAAAAAAAAAAAAGTAAATAAGGATGCGGGAAATGTTTCCGCCTAGATGGGTGCCATACAATGCGCGTCACTGATGACTTCCAGTCAGAATTGGCGGCAACATATGGTTCGGCGTGTTTTACAATAACCTGCGTAGTGGGAGGAGTGGTGGCAGAGGGCGACACAAGAAGTCCACGGTAAACAAAATTCACGTAGCCACCGGAGAGCGGGATGAGATCTATGCATGCATAGGGGGTAGTCTCCAAAGCAGAGAGCACCCTAGCCAAGATTAGGTCGGGGGGGTGCATGGTGACTACGAGCTAAGTAGTTCAATGTACCGTATGGGAGGGCCCAAGGTCTACCGCTTTTAATAGCCAAAGGTGGGCTGGGCCAGCCACTGTCGGCGTCCTACGATAACGAAAACGGATACGACCGTAGAGGCCTTCCATAATTGGCTGGAATACAGAGTACATCCACTTTGCTTATGCTTTTTTTATCTTTAAGCTCACGTGGCAGGGGCGTGACCACTTTTTTTCCTGTTACTTCTTGGCTTATGGCTCGGACGAAGTGAGGCGGCATAGTACGATTCCCATAGAATTCAACTAGGACAAACTGCAGCCTCAGGGACCCAAACAAGCTAAACCTGAAGATTGTCGGTGCATCCCAGGAGGCATCATTTAACAGATGATATTTCACAATAACCAGCCCCATCTCAAGGAATCAACCCACCAACTGCCGGCATGCCGCCGCGAAGGTCTCACAAGAAGTCCCGCAACGGCTGCGAGCTGTGCAAGAAAAGAAGGGTCAAGGTCGGGAATTCCTGCACTTCCAGCTGTTGTCTCAGCTTAAAGTTATCTCTTAGAATCGGGACTCGCGCGCATACTAACACACAAGCACTCGATCGTAGTGTGATGAACAGGACCCGTGTTCGAATTGTTTGACGCGGGGGACGACTTGTAGCTATGAGCGTCGACCTAGTCCGCTTGCTCATCAAGATGGATCACATATTAGTGTGTTCAGTTCTGGTTCTGATGCGAGAGATGAGCAAACCCGCCAACATACGGCCATGCTATCTCTCCGTAATGACTTCTACGACTCATTCTATCGGAAGATGACCGTACTCGCCCGGTCTTCAGAATGGACTGGCCGCGACCCCGAATTGATGCACCATTATTCTCTCTACACATCTAGGTCTATTGCAAGGCGGCCGGAGATGCAACAAGTATGGCAGGTGGAAATCCCCAAGACTGCATACTCATACGAGTTTTTGATGCATGGAATCCTCGCCCTATCAGCACTTCATATCGCCTGTAGCTGTCCTGAAAGATACAGCAGCTATCTGAAAAGCTCCAGGTACCATATTACTCTCGCTTTACGCTCCTTTCGAAGGGCTCTTCTCTCACCAACAGCCGAGAATTGTTGCGCACTGTTTGCCTCTTCGAGTATAATCATGGTGTACACCTTCGCAACCCCCGCGGAGCCAGACGGCGCTGGTACGTGGGTGATCTTAGAGTCGGTTATAGAACTCTTTAAACTCTGTCGAGGTATTTTGGCACTCAAGGGCTTTATAACTGAGATCCGAAACAGCCCCCTTCGGCCACTGCTTCGGCAAGACTTCGAAGTATCAGTCTCTATCGCGAAGTAAGTTTCCTGGAGTTAAAGGTTCCTCTGTACCATCCTTGGCTGCCTCACCATGCGATTGATAGATCACCGCGTCTTGTGATTTTGTAAAAGTGCAATATGGTGTGCGTTAGCTAACTGCGCTGTAGGGGGAATCCAAACAAACTATTCGTGGGGATAGAGAACGAACTCCACCAACTCAGTTCCTTCCTTGATGCGGAGCTCTTAGAATCCCATCAGAGATTCTCATGCGGTCATGCACTGGAGCAACTTGATTATTCATTCAAGTGTATTCAAAATGCCGAGTTGCCCTTGGAGTGTGGAATGATCTTCATTTGGCCAATCTCTGTCAAGGAAGAATTTATATATCTTGTCGAAGAGATGAACGTGGGAGCCCTTGTATTGATGGCCTATTACTGCGCCCAGCTCTGTATATTTGAAGATTACTGGTTTGTCGGAGAAAGGGCACAATCGCTCTTTTCGGAAATCTCAACTGCATTACCTGAACGGCTATGGAAATGGCTGGCCTGGCCAAAGAGCGTCATATATAGCCCTCGCCACATTTCGGGTTCTGGTCCAACAACAGGACCCGTACCCACAGGTTGGATCTGAATACTGGATCCAAAATCTAAACTTACTACTCTATAGATTAGGTATATTGATCTACAAATTACCGGCTAAAAACCTATTCCGATATAAAATTTTTAATTAAGAAATGGAGTACAAGCAAACATATCAGATGTTGTAGGACCAGCCTTAAATATGCAGTGTCAAGAAGGAAACAAACAATCGGATTGGTAAGGAAAAGTAGGTCGGGTAAGTGTAGAATAGTAGCAGTCTATTTTTTTTTTTAAAAACTAATTCTGTCATGGGTAACCTTCGAACACATAGCGGACTGCCGAGGATCTACCTACGTATCCCCTGCGTAAGGTGATCCTCAGAGTGGAAGTTGTACCAGTATCGGCTCAGCCACTCAAAAGTCGGCGCCACCCCGTAACTCTTTGAAGAGTTCAATAAGCTCAAACTTATTGAGAGCAATATCCGGATAACTCGTTAGGGGTATGGCGACTCACAACAGTGTATGTAATATAATGAGAAGGAGTCGACTGGCGCTATGACAGTGCTTGCAGTGCAGTGCAGTGCAGTGCAATGCAATGCAGTGAAGAGAAGAGTGAAGAAAATGAAGCTGGTCGCTGTTTACGCCTTGATCCGTATGCTATGGGCATTCCTGCCTCCGAGTCGGCCGGACATCTCCCAATTCGAGGTTCATTCCTTACCAGGCGTCCCTTCCTCCTCTCTTCCTACCAGTTGGGCTGGTCGGATTCCTGTTCCTGCGACCGCACCCGGCAACTCGTTGTTCTTCTGGCTCTTCCAGGCCGAAACTCCTGCGCAGGATGATAACCTTATCAGTCGGTCTCTCTCTTGCTCTCTGCAGAACCAGCCGCATTAGCTAATGAGACGTCTGCTAGTATGGTTCAATGGCGGGCCTGGATGCTCGTCTCTGATCGGGCTGCTGTCTGGCAATGGGCCATTTGCCTTCGTTGGCGATTCTACCGAGCTCGAGCGCAATCCCCACTCGTGGACGCAGCTGGCACATGTCCTGTATATCGACCAACCCGTGGGGACGGGCTTGTCCACGGCGAGTGAGCCCTATCCATTGTCCGACAACGAGGGAGTGACTTCTTACCTATACGCATGGCTACAGTCTTTTTTTGCCCATTTCCCCCAGCTCAAGTCCAAGCAGATCCACCTGATGGGCGAGTCGTACGCCGGCATATACATCCCCTACCTTGCCTCAGCCATTGTGCACCATCAGGCCTCGTTCCCGCTCCATCTACGCTCCCTCTCCCTCGGGGATGCGACATTTGGCAACTCCATCGCCATGTCCACCATTCCCACCGTAGCATACATGCGCTCCCAGCAATCGCGTCTACAGATCCCACCCAAGATCCTCGACGCGTTTGTTGAAGGCGATTCATCTGCGGATTTGACCAAGTCCTACACCAAGCCGCACAATATCCGCCCAAGGGACCCATCCCCATCCCCGACGATGCAGAGGACGATAACGACACACCGGACCAGCTAACATGCAGCAGTGACACAGCAGCAGCAGCACTGCAACCGCCTCTGACCACCCCCGAAGAAATCCTCTTCTCCATCCTTAACTCCACCACCTGCGACGGATCTTGCGCGACATTCTCCACAGCATCAAGATACCTCTCCACCACCGCGCAGAACCAGCATCAGTGTTTCGACGTGTACGACATCACCAACAACTGTAGCACCCTCAACCCACTGCCCTTACTATCTTCATATTTCAGCCGACCCGACGTCCAAGTAGCACTGAATCTGCTCCCTCCGCCCCCTTCCTCCCCTTTATCTTCCCAACCTTCATCATCCCAATCCTCGCATCTTCCATCCCCGGCCAACAGTCGCAATTCCAACCCGACCACCTCAGAGACCAAAAAGCAATCTCCTCCCCCGTCTTCTTCTTCTTCTTCTTCTGCGTTCATCATCCCCACCACCGCTCCTCAACCCGATCCAAAAACCTACCTTCCCTGCAACGACACCATCCGCACTCTCGTCCTCCAAGACGGCCAACTGCCCCAACCGCCGGCGGACACCATCCTCCCCGAACTCATCACCAGCCACCGCATCGCCCTCCACGTCTATGCCGGCGACAGTGACTTCCTCCTCAATCACTATGGCATCGAACTGGCACTGCAGAATATGACCTGGCGCGGCGGCCGGGGGTTCTCGCGCCCGTTCACGGGTAATTATTTCCATGTGGACGATGCGGGCTTCCTGCGTCATACAAACCGCTCCTCCTCCTCCTCCTCCTCCTCCTCCTCCTCCCCCGACGACGACGACGATACCACCTGCCTTGCCGATACCAGTAGCTGTGATGACCCATTATCACCACCGGGGGCAGCGGGTCTCTGGACTTCCTCGCGAGGTGTCACCTACCATCTCTTCTGGGGCGCGGGTCATGCGGTATTTGCTAAGAAGCCCCGGGAGATGTTTGCTTTTGTGAGGGATGTTGTTCTGGACTCTTCGTAGTTGAATTTCGGACCATACAAGGTGCATACAACCATACACATATATACATATATACATGTATATATAAATGGAAGACTGCCTACATGTTCAGATCGCCGATCGCTGAAGGGAATTGGCGCATCGGTAGCGATAAGGGTAATCATGGATCTCGCTTGTTGGAAACCTAGGGTTGACAAGGGAGCGGAACGATCGTCTCTGTACCGTAGATGTATTCCGTAGGCCAGTGCGTGGATGTCTTGCACATCACGACTCTTTCTCCTGGGGAGGGGGGAGGCTGCATGATGCATGCAATGCAGTAGGGGCAACGTGTTGGGAGGAATGCAGCAGCAGCAGCAGCAGCAGCAGCAGCAGCGGAAAAACAAGACAAAAACCAGCACACAAACTACTGTACAAAAACAACCCCACGATTAAAAGGGGGTTATTGGTTTTTAAGTTTGCAAAAGTGATTGCTGCACCAACAGCTGAGTTCACGTTTCGATCTAATTTGTCATGTTATGCGAGGAATAGGTTCTACTTTCAGGGTTCCTTGCTTTTGGGAGGAATCAATGTCTGATGTATTTTGGGTTCTTTGTTTTGTTTTCAATAGGGACACCTCTATCAATAGGTAGGAATCACAAGGGGGGAGGGAAAACAAATACATGATGGGAATTTCATTTCGCCTTGATCTTCATAATGCATAGTCAAAAACAAAAAGGATAGAGCACGCTATGCAAAGTCCTTCCCCAGTAGAAAATTGAACGCTGGAAAAGCCGTACGCCGCCTGTTTTGAAGTCCTGGTTCGATGTGCCCCTGTATTCCTGGCGTCCATGGAGGAAAAACATGCAAGTATGCGTCACAGATAGGGTTACGAAGGACACCTGGAATAGAGTGGAAGGCATGTAAGAGTAAGAAGAAGTGATGCTGCCGACATTGATCTATGTCAGGGTGGTTCACTGAGCCATGAACAATGTGAGTTTGTGGCCACGTGAAACCCACGGTGAACGCATCGGAGTGTCACAGTGAGTACAAAAGGCTGGAGGAAGATAGATGATGAAGGCTGCCAGGCGTTCAGCGACGGGCGAAGAATGGTGCTTGGTTAGGCATCGAGAGCAAAGAGTCGGCTCTTTGGAAGACATCCCCTTCGAAAAACTTGTCGCTGTATGCACTGGCAGGGGTAGAGGGAACGGTCGCCTGTGCAGCGGGACCGAGGGCGGCACTTAGGGGTGTTGCAGGAAGGTGGACGGATGGCGATAAATTAGGGCCATGATGAAACGTGTTGGTCGATACCGAGGTTTGGTGCTGTGGATGCTGCGATTGCAAAGGAGGTCCGTAGATGCTGGGAGTTGGATTGCTGGGGTTGTCTGCAAGAAAAGACCAGGGCGAAGCATCAATCATACGTCCCGCTTCTCTGCTCGACCTCTGAATAGGACGAAGCATGTTGACAATGTCGTTAGGGAGAATTTTCATATTTCGAACCTCCTTCATGTCAATGACAAGGTCTACGAAAGACTGCAAAAATGCCTTGCAGTGGTGCCAGAACTCGCGCGCGTTCCGGTCTCCACCGCCAGGCTCCTTGACCTTCATGTTGGATAGCCTTGAGCCCAAGCCCTCTGAGACTTCCAGGCACACCTGACAGCGGTGGATGAGATTTTTCCAAAGCATAACGATACCCTCTGGCTTCCGTGTTTGCTCGGCGAGCTCGAGACATCGCACCAGTTGAGCGAATGCTACAGGCAATCCCTGGAGAGCAGCGCTGCATGCCGAGTTGAGCTGACCGAAGATTCGCTCAAAGATTCGCTCTTCTTCAATCTCGTCTAGTCCAGTCATTGGATTGATTCGAGGTATAACAGAGCTGGGAATAGCAGGGAATGACTCGCCCGAGCGAGGGGTTGCCAGTGACGACGGTATGGAAGTATTGATGTGGTTGGATCTGCTACTGGACCGACTCCGTGCGGCGAGACTGAATGGCGTCGGGGCAAACCCTGGTGAACTGACGGCAGACTGGTATTGCGATGCTGCGTGGAAAGGGCCATTCATAACAATCTGAGGGTGCTGAATTGTTGTGTCATTTCGATAGCGTCGGATCGAAAACGACTGCTCTCTTCCCCTCGTTGGTGTCACGGTTGGCCCCAGAAATCGGTCCGGACCTGCGGACTCCTTAATTTCTGGAACTGGTAACTTCGCAACTGGTTTGGGGCCCTTTTCGATGGGAACCCCAAGATGTGCACACGCATTGCGCAATTCAACCATGCTACCGAATATCATGAGAATCAGGGAGCGCACATAGCACGACTCGCCGTTCGTGACTATTTTGTCAATACTGTTCCGTAACTGCGTTCCGACGTGTGTGTAGGCGATGATGCACGTCTCACATTCTCGCTTTACAGCCTCGTTGGCCAACCGTGCCACGTCGGCTTCCTCAAATTGAGAGTGTTCTGCGTTCTCGATAGCCTCGTTGAGGCGATCAACATGAGTAGAAGCATTGTAGAAGACGATCTCAAGGCTATTTCGACGGGCGTCTTCGCGCTTGATGACGCTTATCAAGGACGTAACATTGGATTGAATCTGGAAGAGAGCGAATAAGATGCACTTTGCGCTTGCGATAATGGGCTCGGCTGTCACTTTCTCTGCTTTTTGTTCTGGTAGACTCGACATTCGATTCACAAACCCGTCCTTCAAGCGCCTGCGCTCCCTTGGGCTGCTGGGACTGGAAGAATTGCTGCTAGATAGGGCGCCAGATGGCCTGGTACGCAGAATCGAGCCGTAGCTCAGACCTCGCAGATGGCTATTCCGATAGGGACGTGTCTCGTCGAGAGTTCCCAAGTCTGTGTTTTTCCGAATGACCCCCATCCGCTTGTTGCGCGCTGCGAGAGAGGCTTGGATGATGCCTTCGCTGTTACTTCGATTGCGCTCATTGTACGCACCATAAGGTTTCGCCCCTGGGCGCTGGAGTATGGCACCGTGGAAGGCAGGGTTGTGCCCCGAAGCAATACGATAGTGGGACTTCATCGGGATTGGCGGTGGTCGACCTAACGAGGGTGACTTAGGGTCGGAGGCACTGTCGCCAGTACTGGGAATCACCGGGAACCGACTGCTCATTCCACGCTTAAGAGGTTTGGGAGTATCCAGCATGACCTCGCTGAAAGCCCTGCGATATCAGTTTCGGTGCTACGGAGCGGAGACGAGAGGACATACCTCGGGTCATATTTCTCAATTTCCAAGGGCGCAACAGGCTGTTTTGTTTTCAAAAACCTCTTAAGCTCTGCGGTTACTGCAACCTCCTTCTCGTTATCGGTCAAGCTCGAGGGGGCAAATTCTGTTTCAGAGCTTTCGAGGAGTCGTCGCAGGGGGTACCGCAAGGGGTTGCCAGCAACTTTCAGGATTTGGAGCTTGTTCATGTCGGAGATCCCGAGGGGTAAGTCATCGAGGCGGTTTTGCATTACCGAGAGAACTCTAAGAGATGAGAGTTTTTTGATCTCTTCCGGAAGGTGGCTTATCTTGTTGCGACTGATGTCTAGAATTTCGAGGAGCGGCAGCTTATAGACCTAGAATCATTGTTAAAAATCCATAGAGAAAGAGGCTCATTTGACATGACCGGAACGCACCCCTTTGGGAAATTCGCGGAAACTGTTTGCCCGGATATTGAGATATCGTAGATGACGACACTCTGCAAATCGATAGGGTATGTGCACCAACTGGTTATTAGATAGCGAGAGTCTACTAGTGGTCAGCGTGTCCGGGCAGGCAGATGGCGTTTGTCGTAGCAGCATTCCCTCGAAGGTGGAAGGCAACATACCGTTCAACTTCGTCCTTGATGGTATCCACGACTGACTCGGGAATGCGAGAGATGTTGGAGTGGCCCAAGTCGATGGTCAACTTCGGCTTCACTACATCGGTGACTGCTTCACTTCCCGCAAGCGAGCGTTTTGTTTCTTGGATTCCATTCTCAACCGCCCGGCGGGCCAGCTCGATTGTCTCCTCGGTTGTTAACAAGCGGGGTCCTGGTGGGTGTTTGCCTGTAGTGCCATTGCCGTCGCCTGCGGTTCCGTTGACAAGTGTTACCTCATCCTCACTTTTGGCCGGTGCATCGATTCTGGAGGCAGGCACCAATGCAGCCGGGACCAACGAGGCTGGTACCAGTGAGACCGGTAGGCTCTGTTCCAAAGATTGTCTGCCATCGTCGTCATTGTCCGCATCGCCACGGTAGGCGAAGGGCATCCTGATGGTATCATCCGGGCGCACCATTGTCGACAACATATTGGGTGAGGTACGGAGTAAGAGGGTCTATGCGATCGGCCTGGCGCTGGCAATTTTCGTGATTTGTGGTTCGGAATTCGAACATGCACTCAGATAGCCAAGATGTCTCCGGAATGTGTTCTGTGGCCTGCACGAAGCATGATCGATGTATAATGAAACTAGGGAAGGTGTCGTAAGAAGAAAGGATAAGTATGAGGGTATAAAGGAGGCGACAGTGTGTGCAGTTGGCGTGAGGCGCGCAGCCAGGCCCGGGCGGCACTTGTTAGGCTTCAAACGGACGAGAACTTGCTCGAATCCGAACAACACAAGGATCACGAGGATGAAGGATTGCAAGAAGGGTGCTTATCGTGAGTTAAGAAGCAAACAGGTAGATTGTAAGCCAGTACAATATTTCGATGGGACAATAGATGTGGTCTGAGAGGTCAGCCAAGTTAAGAAGAACGGGCGGCGTGACGAGGGCGAGAGTGTTGGGTGAGAGAGGGAGGGCGGGAGTTGAGTGAGCAAGCAGGCGAGCGAGCGAGCGAGAGAGAGACTTGAAACGCGGAGAAAAAGGCTGCAGCTGTCAGAAGAAAGCCACAGCTAAACCAACTGACTGCAATAGCAGTAGTCAGTTTTCTTTTTCTTTTTCTTTCTCTTTCTCTCTCTCTCTCTCTCTGATCAGCTCGGTGATGCGATCAATTCAGTGTGAGTCAATTGATTGACATGGAAAATGAATGAGGTGAGGTACGGAGATCTCCGTAGTAGTAGGAGTAGTTTGCAGAAATAGCAAGACAGACCCTCCGGGCGATAACCG